GGGTGCTAACGACTGCAAATGCAGCCGGGACCAACGGCTTAACGTGCCTTCCGATGCACGGAGGAGCTCAAGATAGTAAATTTTTGGTCACCCATCCAATGACCGACCACTGCGAAAGTTGCTTAATTTCAACGATCGTAGCCGAACGCGCTAACCACTTGCGCCATCGAGCTCCTCCGCGATCAAAAGGATTTTTTCCTAAATATCATAGCATATATATATATAACTTTTACTTAGTGAATGAATGAAGCATTATTCTTAGTACCTGATTGTGCGACGGCAGCAAAAGGATTTGTTTTATGTTCCATACCCAATAGGTTCCAAACTTATTACCAACTCTCCGCTGTACATACGTTCAATCTACGCTCCATTCAGTTGCAGGCTCAACTAATTTGCAAACAAACAATAATAATATATAAACAATTTTTCGACCATAACAAATAAACTTATACACTTTCGGACACAACTATCGGTGATATAGTTTCAACGGTCTGTAGCAAAACTAATATATTTAAAAACACACACACACACACACAAAAAAGGTAGTTGATAACATGGACGTATAAAAAAAGGTTTTTTATAAGTCCATGGTTGATAAATCACCTTCAGAACTACGTAAAACTTTTTCATAAATGTAATATTTTTTTAAGCTATGGACCGTCATAACTATATAGGTTAAAAATAAATATGCTATGTGGGCCGATAAATGTGTCCAGCAGTATGTATGTAACCTAGAGTCATTAAGTCAAAAGAGGTTTTTAAAACTACGAACTACGAAAGTATCACAGTAACCTTAGACTCGTAAAAAATGTATCCTCATGGTCTATCTCCTTTTGTACAAATAGCTCTTCCATGGCGCACCACTGAGCTCTGTCCATGAAATAAATAAATTAATATTTCCAACACTCACACCAATTAACCTAGCCCCAACGTAAGCACTATAAGGCTTGTGTAAAGGGATACTAGGGTAACGGATATAATACATATTATACTGTACATATATAAGTATATTTATATAGAAATACATATTAAACATCCATGACTGGAGTACAAATACTCGTATTCATTACACAAACATCTGCCCCCACCGGGATTCGAACCTAAGACCTCTCGAGTCTGCGACACCATGAAACCCGTCGTACAAACCAATCGGCACCGGAGGTCGTAACTTAAATAAATTTTTGCATGCAAAATATTTTCACTTATTCGTCCTTCAGTAAATATCAAGGTTCTAAAAACAATTTTACTAGCTACAAATATAATTTAGAGACGAATAAAATTGTCCGTTAGAGTTACGGTACGTACTACGGAGTGTAATTAGCCAGCGTGATTGATCACCGAGCTATGTGATGAACGATAAGTGATGAATCTCTCCACACTCAACTCTGTGAATTAGGCTACTATTTGACAGTGTGAAATATGAAGTACCAATGAGGGCTACCGTTTTCTGTCTCACCAGATGGCGCCACTGTTGAGTGAGGTCCTAAATTGTAACTTTTAAAGTTTATTAATACGCACATGAAATCAAAGGTTACATTTAGATCGTATTTTAACACAAAAGAACCATATCCTAAATATAATAGGCCATGCCACAGTGACGCCCAGTTCCGTTTTATTCGGAAAAAATGGGAACATAATAATTTTACTAAGCTCAAATTTTTAATAACTGACATTCATTGCCACATAACTCATATTTGCCATAATTAAGCCGAATTGTTACCAATTATTCACAACATTATTTTAATAAGAAATAAACCCGTGTAGTCAACCAACAAGCAATAACATTTGACATTTCGGAGACCTCACGCTACACTAGCGCCTCTAGCAGCGGATTCATACGCGATAGCCCTCATTGGTGGCATCTGTTTTTAATACGAATATAAGCAGTGATTTCATTGCTCTAAGAGAACAAAATAACTATTAACTTTTCTTAAAAAAATGTGAGCCGTCACGGGACGCCCGGCAGATGTGAAACATCGACATTATTTTGTAAAAGTAATATGCAGAAAAGATCAAATTGCGATAGGAACTAAATATGGCATAATGATAAAATCAAATATTACGATTTATTTTTCCAGAAAATGATGACTGTTTATTTAATAAACATTTATTTTCGTTTAATACAAAAATCGAATTCGATTGCGCATGGCGGCGCGTCGCCACACCGTACACACTACTGCATAAAGACTGTATATATATACCATCAGATGCTAGGCGACGCGTCGCCACCGTATGAGTCGCCACGCCAGAAAACGGTTCAAAAATCATTAAACGAAATGATATTTTTGTTCCATGGTCGCCGGACCGAAAACGCTTGGGATTGGTTAAGAACTTAAGACTAAAATGATGTTACACGCTAGTAAACTTCCGGTGAAAGCGACATTACATTGTATTGTCTAGAGCAATTTACGCGGCAAATTGAAAATGGAATTATATTTTGTTTTTTTTTTATTTATTTATTGAATAATGAAAATTTATTTTTTTATTGACTCCATTAATATTTGTAAAAAACGTGAGATCGTTTTATAAAACTTGTTAAATATAAACCCTATTTGGAATGCAGTTAAAATTAGCTTCGTCATCAGACAGATATATAATGCCTTAAAAATATTATCAATAAATTTTCTAGAATTATACCATTCAAACTGCAAGATACACTGATAAATAATAATTAAATATTTCCAACACTCGCACCAATTAGCCTAGCATGTAGGCTTGTGTTTTAGGATACTAGGGTAACGGATAGGATAATACGGATATACTGAGACATATAAAAATACATATTAAACGTCCAACGCTGTAGTACAAATGCTCGTATACATCACACAAACATCTGCCCCCACCGGGATTCGAACCCGGGACCTCTCGAGTCGGCGACACCATGAAACCCGGCGTATATACCACTCGGTCACGGAGGTCATCGGACATATATATTTATGGTAACCAAAATATATATATATATATATAAATATTTAGTAGCAAAATTTACGAAACCATGGGTGCTGGTTTGAATTCAGTCCATTTATGGAATGAGTAAAATTTTCTTGATTAAATTGTCTGTGGCTCGTAAAGTAAATATTACTTTTACTTAAAATAAAGCAAATTGCTAAAGTTCGGGGGAAAAAACGATTTTCGTACCAATTTAAATAAAAAATAAAAAATGTATAATGAAAATAAAACCATCAATGTTGGATTTGCAATAACCAATAACTCTTAAGATTATACGTAGAAGAAAATATAATCGTAAACTTGATAGTGGTTCTTTAAATTGTTATAAAATCTGTTTAGCTGCACTATTCGTATCTGCTGACAGGTTATGACACACACAACTAAGAAGGTGTCATTTTAAAAAGAAACTTAAAACAATTTCCCGCGTCTATTTAGCTTCTACGAAACTGTCACAAACCACTACGTTACTTTCCCTGCGTGTTTAAGACTACATTTTCACCTCACCTGTATGTTCATTCCTTATTTTTCTGCTTCCGATTTTTTCCTTCCGTTCACAACCAATAGGAAGCAATAACTCTGTCTTCGATTGCTCACATTCCTGCCTGAACGAGTCGGTTCACCGCAACCAACATAATTCGAGCTTACAAGCTACGCAATATCTCCTTCCATTCGTACTTTAAATTTTTGGGCGTTTGAAGCTGAAAGGTCTTGTTACGCTGGTGTTATTGAGGGCGTCATAAATTTTGCCGGTCAGTACCGCAGTTAGGATTGCGGCCACAGAAGTTCAGCACTATTAATCTGTGTTGTAACGGCCGTGTTAGTAGACGCTACAGTTTTGTTAATGAAAACGGCAACCGGCAATCAATCTGCCTCAACTAGGACTGGATATTGGCTCATGTATACACAAGTTTGAAATAACATGGAAGGTTAAAACAGTTGCTCTATTTATTTGTAGGTTTTCCCGTTTTCCGATAAAAGGACGGAATTGATTCCATTCTCACCACATCAAATAGATACAAGTATAATGATCTGTTTATACAACTGGTGTTTCCACAATATTGGAATGTAACCAAACATTTATTTTACATGTATACAACCTATCGTGGTGTAGTGAATTTGAGTACTGTTATATAGAATTTAATATTACAGCCATAAAAAAATAAAAGTGCTGACGCATTCCTATTTCATTTACGTCAATGCAATAGGAATCCACCTCAACCTCCGGTAATTCAACTTTACTTTGAGTTAGTGTCGCCGCACACGCCACAGCCACAAACGCCGCTACGAGAAGCTAGAAGCGGTTAATAAAGTGGCTGAAGCGCGCGACAGCGGCCGTCTAAGGTAAGGGAGAGAGGGGTGGGGAATCGCGCGAGTGACGTGTGGCGGCATTTTGTATCGGCGCATTAAGTGGCCGGTGCGGGCCACAAGAAGCGAGCAACGACGATTTGTAGCGTGTGGCGGCCACCGGCGTACCGTGTGTGGCGAGTCCATATAAAATGTATGAAAACTACAATTAATATGCCAGTGGCGGCGTTTTGTGGTTGTGGTCGGTGGCCCGTGTGCGGCGACACTTAGTACGGATTGGACTCGCGTTCGGGAAACACAAATTTTAAGTTCCTAAATAAAATAGTGTTAATGCTAATTTTAGAATAAATTGTTTTTAACAAAGCCTATCCTGATCCGCCCCGTAACAGTACCTCTTTGTAATGTAAACAACTCGAATGCACTAATTAAACACGGTCCAGCAGTTTAAAAAAAAATTCAGTTACAAGCACATGAACATTATTAATATATGTTTTTTTGTTTATGTGCAACAGTTTTTTTTTTATTTTAGTCTTGTTCCCCCTCTTTAATTAAAATTCGTCTCTGCATCCTATGGTTATTGGAAGAAATGGCTACATAGCCATAAGACCGCCAATTGTCGACCTATTTAAATTAATATCCAAACTTTGTACTTTATAATGTGGTGTGTTCAATAAAGTATTATCTATCTATCTATCTAATATTAACGATACAATTACTTAATCTAATTCTATGTCTGATTTTTACAGAAATAGACATCCACAAATCGGAGGAGTGCCGCTCGGAGTGGGTGGAAGTGCGTGACGGGTACATGCCTGATGCCCCGGTACTGGGCCGCATCTGTGGCTCGGGCAAGGGGCCCATCATGCGGTCGACTGGCTCGCGGCTCACTGTGGTATACCAACCGGGGCCGCGCCTCAAGCCGCATAAGGGATTCAGGGCTCATTACGAAGGTAAAATACTTTTACAAACATAATTATAGGTACATGCCCGATAGGCCACGTCTGTGGCTCGGGCAAGGAGCACATCATGCGGTCGACTGACTCGCAGCTCACCGTGGTATACCAACCGGGGCCCCGCCTCAAGCCGCACAAGGGATTCAGAGCTCATTACGAAGGTAAAATACGTACGTATAAATAAAGTATAAATACTTACAAACATAATTATAGGTACATGCCCGATAGGCCACGTCTGTGTCTTGGGCAAGGAGCACATCATGCGGTCGACTGGCTCGCAGCTCACTGTGGTATACCAACTGGGGCCCCGCCTCAAGCCGCACAAGGGATTCAGGGCTCATTATGAAGGTAAAACACTTTTACAAACGTAATTATAGGTCATGCCCGATAGGCCGCGGCTGTGGCTTGGGCAAGGAGCACATCATGCGGTCGACTGGCTCGCGGCTCACCGTGGTATACTAACCAATACCCTGCCTCAAGCCACACAAGGGTTTCAGTGCACATTAAGCATTTAACTGCTAGATGTTTAATGTAAAGTTAAACGCAGGTAAGCTTACTCATCATTTTACATTGTAAGGGTATTCACTTCACGTCTGAGGGGTCCCCGCGATACCCCGGGAGACCCCTACCGTGGAGCCCCAGCTAGGCCGGGAGGCTACTGGGTGCGGAAACGCGGAAGAATCCCTAAACGGGGATCTCGCGGCTTCCCACTAAGCAGCTTAGAGGTTAAGAAGGTCACCAACCAGGGCCCCACCTCTAGCCACACAAGAGATTCACGGCACATTACGAAGGTAAATCACTTTCACAAACATAATTATAGGTATTTAAGTGGTTTCATGCCTGATAGGCCTCCTCTGTGGCTCGGGCAAGGGGCCCATCATGCGGTCGACTGGCTCGCAGCTCACTGTGGTATACCAACCGGGGCCCCGTCTCAAACCGCACAAGGGATTCAGGGCTCATTACGAAGGTAAAACATTCTCACAAACATAATTATAGGCATAAAAGTGGGTTCATGCCTGATAGGCCGCCTCTGTGGCTCGGGCAAGGGGCCCATCATGCGGTCGACTGGCTCGCAGCTTACGTGGTATGGATTCAGGACATATTGGGAAGGGTAAACATATTAACAAACCGTCCACCAACCAGGACCCCGCCCAAAGCTGCTCAAGGGATTCAAGCCACATTATGAAGGTAAAATATTTATACAAACAAATTATAGGTATAGGTGGGTACATGCCTAATAGACTCCATCTGTGGCCCGGGCAAGAGGTTTATCATGTACTCAACTGACTCGCGACTCACGGTGGTCTACCAACCAAGTCGCGCAATGGCTCCAGAGCCCACTACGAAGGTTAAGCATATTTTTAAAGACGACTTAGAGATACTTACATATATATATGGGTATATACCCAACACCCCCATACTGGGCCGCATCATTACGAGGGTTAAACATTTTTAACGAACATGATCTGGCGATGCCCTGGGTCGAGCCACACAAGAGCTTCAGGGCTTATTACAAAGGTATGTTTTTTACAAGCACACTTAATGAGTTACATTGCTGTTAAAACTAAGTTTCTCACTTATTTAAATAGTATACAATTTAAACCTATTAAATACCTTATAAATAAATAAATATAAATTTACCTAGCTCTCGCTTTAATTTGAGAAGGAATTTGCTGATCACATCCCTCTTTTTTCAGACAGCTTTCTTATAATTTGTAGAAGGTTTTTACGAATTTTATTTAGAAAGTTGCCCGAAGCTAATGTTAACGGGGACGGAGTCGCGGGCAGAAGCTAGTATATTATAATTACGAGGTCAATGACTCCCAGCTTGCGGTCTTCAAATCATAGGGTACGGCCAGAGTGCACTCAGATTCAGATTCAGACTCAGAAAACAAGCGCGAGAAATATACAGTGTAGTTTAAGCAGGTTGCCTGCGGCCACTATGGCCACCCTGCTTTAACTACATTGTTTATTTCTCGCGCTTGTTTTCGGAATCTGAATCTGAATCTGAATCTGAGTGCACTCTGGCCGTACCCATACAAAGGAAACGAATACGATACGGCCAATAATTTCTTACAAAACAAGGCTAATTACAAAGGCAGTTTCTATTTGTACGAAAAAGTATTTTAACAAGGTAAAGTTTGTGAAGAATTTTCGAAAATAGGTTCTTTGACTGTATGAAAAATAATGTACCAATTTATTTGTTTCTTAGGTTTTCACGCACATCACTCATTAAATAAAACTAGTTTTTACGGGTTAATGCACGAAACTTTATTTATTTATTGACGTTTCGCAGCCTTTTCAGGTCTGCATCGTCAGAATAATGCAATACCAATTATGCAGTACCAATTATTGGCACGTGTATTTATTTAACAAGAATATTGGGAGCAATTTCACTATTCCAACAAAAATAATGTTTTGAATTATTAGTAAAAATCATGAAATAGAATAGTTATTTATGAAATTAGGGCGGTAAATTAGTAAATACAAATGAGTAGACCATAGTCATGAATTTGTAAATACCAATAATTCTGCACGTATGTTATTGAGAAATGTTTTCTATTAAGAAAATAGTGCGCATTTCCAAATGGCCACACGTGCGGGTTATGAAAATTAAAACTACATCACGTATTAAATTGAGACAAAGGTATAGATTAAAAACGCTTGCAAGGAGGTTCGAACGAAATTTAAATAAAAACCGTGAAGGATACGCACGGCGAGATGTATGGGAGCGTGCGGTTAAACGTTTTACCGCACGCTTCGTTGTACAACAATGAATTACAGATCATAATTTTCAACTTTCGAACAATGTATAAAACCTCCCTAAATGCATTTTTTGAGCAAATGTGTTGAAAAATTATTCTTTAATCTTTTGTCACGTGACCGAAAACGCTTAAGACTGGCGGAGCCTCAGATGACGTTACCTGCGTTGCCGTTTTAATTAGAGCCGTGTGACGTCACCTGCCTGTAAGATGCCATATTTGATAGAGAAACGTTTCCGCGGTATGTTTGAAAACAAAATATTTATTTCGGTTTTTTAAAAGCTTTTATTTATTACTGTTATACGCAACAAAGTCATAAATATCCATTTTATGAAATCACTAGACACTAATTAATAACGTATGAACGCTTTAAAAAATATATCATGTAGACTATTTTTGAGAAAGCATCATTATTCTTGAGTACCATAGGTTGTAATGTTTGTTATAGCCGTGTGTGGCGGTGAAATAGAAGTGGACAGCAGTGGCCACCTGGAGTCTCCGAACTACCCCGACGACTACCAGCCCAACAAGCAGTGCGTCTGGAGCCTGTCAGTGCCGCCGGTAAGTGTACACAGAAAAAATAATATGCTAAACACACTACTGTTATTACAGTGTTACAAAAATACAAATAAATTTGAAGGCGTTGAAGTACACTATATTAAGGAGTCTTCTCTAATTGGAACGAAGTTCCTTACGGCAGGCTTGGAGGGGATAGGGATTTTGCTGCGCGACCGAACTGATAAAAATGTGATAGTAAAACCGTAAGAAAAAATCCGTGGAAAAAAGTGCGTGGAATAAAACCGTTAAATGAGACGTGCGCAGGCGCGACAGTTGCATACACAAGCGAGTTTGCAATTTGTGTCGATTCTACATTAGCCGAAGGAACTTCGTTCCTACCTGTGTCCCACGACACCACATCATTTTTTTTTCTTAAAATATTTGCACTACGTTTTAACTTTTTATAGAAACAGTTATTTTTAATGATCCTCGAACTAGTGACGTGTCTTGAAAAGATGGATATTTTTATGAATCATTAAAAATAACTGTTTTTAAAAAAAATAAAACTATATGCAAATATTTTTAAAAAATTAGAGAAGACTCCTTATATGATGTACTTCAACGCCCTTGAAGCTTTATTTGTATATTTGTAACACCCTGTATAGGTACAGTTCGTGGCACATAACTGTAGCGCTGAACGTGGGGGGATAGCTGCGCATGGGTACGACTGGAGAGCCAATCGGCGCGACGCATGCCCACCCGCGCACCTCGTTTCCCCCCAACACATCTTAATTTTTACTTCTGCGCAATAACGGTCAGCCCTAGAGTTTCGTGCGGCGACTTGTAGTGACCAATGACCATAGAGCCACACAGCCGATGCGGCTAGGAGGGGAGTAGCCATAAAGACATAAATATTACTGAAATAATTCTGCCGCTTTTTGCGGGGGGAGGAATATGCACACAAATGCAGTCGAACATACTTTCGCAAAACGAAATTGTAATTACGACACTCACACATAAAAATGACAGCGCTACATCGGGCATAGAGAAAGTTATTTTTTTTTATTTACAAATCTGGAATTTGTACTGGCGAGTCGATTGTTTCGTCAAACAAGTCCGACGATTGAATTTTAACAAAATTATATGAATTTTGTGTTTGTATTATTTCAATTGTTAATAATTCTACTTACATGTGAAATATAACACCATCCTTTTGTTTAATATTCCAGATATGTTTTACAGCAAATTATATAACATTTTGTGATTTTTCATCTCTAACATATACTCGCGCGACTTGACTCAGTCTAAAGAAATATCCGACGCTCAGCTAGTTTTGTTTTTGAGCTGGCTTAACAGCGGGGGAATATCGACAGAGGGGAACGCTGTGAATTATTCCCCTCCTAGCCGCGTCGGCTGCGTTGCTTGATGGTAGTGACCTATAATAACAATCCTGAACTTCTGAAGGACGTGACTTTACCAGATAGAATTACACTCGAGTCAGGCACGACTCGAATCTGAGCTCTTTGCTATCCGAATTGGGGCGGGTGAATTAACCGTTATTGTATTGAAATTCTTCTAGTATAAGGCACTTTGAACACAAGACGGCCACGACCACGGCCAGTGGGCGAAAAATTTGCTAGATAAATCTTTTATTTTTTTATTTACTTATACTAAGTAGTGATAATAAAATCAGGCAACACAGGCTCATAGATGCATACCTGAAAGTGTAACATATATACAGATATCAAACATTATTATGTTAGTAATAAACTTAATCCCTATATTAATAAAACCTTATCAACACGTATCGACGGCGACGGTGTCCAGTAGCCAGCCTTGGAATCGTCGGAACACAACACATTTCAGCCAAAGAATTTCCTTCATGTTTACAAATTTGCGCCGCTACCATACTGATAGGCGTTTGCACGTGTTTAAATTGCATTTTACGCGTGATGTCTCGAGTCTTATAAAATAAATATTAATGAACTAATTATAAAAATATATACATATTTCAGTAGTTCAATGATGGTATATTAGTTTTATGAAAGTTTCTGATAGTAATTCTATTTAATACAATATCAAAATACGAGGTAAACCTGCATTATTTATTGAGAAAACTCACGGAGGTTAGATGTTTTTTTTTGATAATTAATGAGATGGAAAATCAAAATTCTAATAAAATTCAGTTACAACAAAAACATATCTCTGATGTCATAGTAATTAATTTGATCTAATTTATTGAACATTATTTAGAGATTGTTGAGGCTTTTGAAGTTGTGCATATTATCGTTTTATTCCGTAAACTAGCTTCGGTAGAACGATCAGTACAAAAAAAATTAAAATAGAATTTGCAAATATCCTACATTAACTTACAATAGGAAAAATAAATCTACTGTTTACTTCTATTGGAAATAGTCAAAATCTTTTCTAAGGGGGTAAACGAGGCGCTCAAAATTACGTTTTTTTTGAAAAAAAATGTGAAAGGGCTCGTCATGTAATGCCGACGGTTCGACAGTAAACACGCTTCGAAACGTTCCGCAACTAAACTGAGTACGACGACCAGCAATAATTATTGGCGCTTTGCGACCAGTCGTGGTCGTAGCCGCAAACTTGGCCGCAGCACAAACGTAGCTTCTACAAAGTTGCGGTGGTCGTGGCCATTTATTGCGCGAAGTTCGTAACTCAGGCTACATAATTTCTGTAACTATGTTTACGTTAGGAGCTGTGCTATGTTGGCTTACGTTCATTTGTATTGCATCCCTTTAGGAATACCAAGTGGCACTCAGATTCCATTCCTTCGAAGTGGAGAACCACGACACCTGCTCCTATGACAAGGTCCAGGTCAGGGATGGGAACTCCATAGACAGCCCACTCTTAGGAATGTTCTGTGGACACAAAATACCTCCAGACATCAGGTATGTAGATAAAGGATACTTAGTAATGATAACTTAAATGTCTTTGTTTAGATATATAAATTAATGAGGTACTGACCTATAATTGTAATTTCAAATTTAAATCCTGAAAATTTTATTGAATAATAATTCCTTTAGAATCAGGGTTCATTATGATTATAATAACTGAAATTTATCCTTGGCCGCCAGTTCCTTAAAACTATGCAACATGTTATTGTATACCTTGATAGATTCTTGACAGATTCGATAAAAGAATATCTTTTATAAAGCTCCAATAAATCTTATCTTGAACTTATTTTTACAAATAATAATTTCACGTGTGTTCCAAAGTCCAAATACTTCCTATTGATCACATCAATTTACCTTCACATTGTGCGTTTCTTTAACAGGTCCACATCCAACAAACTGCTCGTGATCTTCGAGTCGGACAGCACTGTGCAAAAAGCCGGCTTCTCCGCCACGTTTATGAAGGAGTTTGACGAGTGCGCGTCCATCGAGCACGGCTGCAGCCACTCGTGCGTCAACACGCTGGGCGGATACGAGTGCGCCTGCGACATCGGCTACGAGCTGCACTCCGACGGGAAGAAGTGCGAGAGTGAGGGGCATATACTAGTCTTGTAACATTCCATAGTAGCTATAGGCCCGAGTCACTATCATGAATAGTTCGATAAGTGCGCGTTCAGCGAGCACGGCTGCAGCCACTCGTGTGTCAACACGCTAGGCTGCGAGCTACACTCCGACGGGAAGAAGTTCGAGAGTAAGGGGCATATACTAGTCTTGTAACATTCCTCAGTAGCTATAAGTCCGAGTGACTATCATGAAGTAGTTCGATAAGTGCGCGTCCAGCGAGCACGGCTGCAGTCACTCGTGTGTCAACACGCTAGGCTGCGAGCTGCACTCAGACGGCTAGAAGTACGAGAGTGAGGGACATATACTAGTCTTGTAACATTCCTCCGTAGCTATAAGTCCGAGTGACCATCTTGAAGTAGTTTGATAAGTGCGCGTCCAGCGAGCACGGCTGCAGTCACTCGTGTGTCAACACGCTAGGCTGCGAGCTGCACTCCGACGGGAAGAAGTGCGAGAGTAAGGGGCATATACTAGTCTTGTAACATTCCTCAGTAGCTATAGGTCCGAGTCACTATCATGAAGTAGTTCGATAAGTGCGCGTCCAGCAAACACGGCTGCAGTCACTCGTGTGTCAACACGCTAGGCTGCGAGCTGCACTCCGACGGGAAGAAATGCGAGAGTGAGGGGCATATCTAGTCTTGTAACATTCCTCAGTAGCTATAGATCCGAGTCACTATCATGAAGTAGTTCGATAAGTGCGCGTCCAGCGAGCACGGCTGCAGCCACTCGTGTGTCAACACGCTAGGCTGCGAGCTGCACTCCAACGGGAAGAAATGCGAGAGTGAGGGGCATATACTAGTCTTGTAACATTCCTCAGTAGCTATAAGTCCGAGTGACTATCATGAAGTAGTTCGATAAGTGCGCGTCCAGCGAGCACGGCTGCAGTCATTCGTGTGTCAACACGCTAGGCTGCGAGCTGCACTCCGACGGGAAGAAGTGCGAGAGTAAGGGGCATATACTAGTCTTGTAACATTCCTCAGTAGCTATAGGTCCGAGTCACTATCATGAAATAGTTCGATAAGTGCGCGTTCAGCAAACACGGCTGCAGCCACTCGTGTGTCAACACGCTAGGCTGCGAGCTGCACTCCGACGGGAAGAAATGCGAGAGTGAGGGGCATATACTAGTCTTGTAACATTCCTCAGTAGCTATAAGTCCGAGTGACTATCATGAAGTAGTTCGATAAGTGCGCGTCCAGCGAGCACGGCTGCAGTCATTCGTGTGTCAACACGCTAGGCTGCGAGCTGCACTCCGACGGGAAGAAGTGCGAGAGTAAGGGGCATATACTAGTCTTGTAACATTCCTCAGTAGCTATAAGTCCGAGTGACTATCATGAAGTAGTTCGATAAGTGCGCGTCCAGCGAGCACGGCTGCAGTCACTCGTGTGTCAACACGCTAGGCTGCGAGCTGCACTCCGACGGGAAGAAGTACGAGAGTGAGGGGCATATCTAGTCTTGTAACATTCCTCAGTAGCTATAGATCCGAGTCACTATCATGAAATAGTTCGATAAGTGCGCGTCCAGCGAGCATGCCTGCAGCCACTCGTGTGTCAACACGCTAGGCTGCGAGCTGCACTCCGACGGGAAGAAATGCGAGAGTGCGGGGCATATACTAGTCTTGTAACATTCCTCAGTAGCTATAAGTCCGAGTGACTATCATGAAGTAGTTCGATAAGTGCGCGTCCAGCGAGCACGGCTGCAGTCACTCGTGTGTCAACACGCTAGGCTGCGAGCTGCACTCCGACGGGAAGAAGTGCGAGAGTAAGGGGCATATACTAGTCTTGTAACATTCCTCAGTAGCTATAGGTCCAAGTCACTATCATGACATAGTTCGATAAGTGCGTGTCCAGCGAGCACGGCTGCAGACACTCGTGTGTCAACACGCTAGGCTGCGAGCTGCACTCCGACGGGAAGAAGTGCGAGAGTAAGGGGCATATACTAGTCTTGTAACATTCCTCAGTAGCTATAGGTCCAAGTCACTATCATGACATAGTTCGATAAGTGCGTGTCCAGCGAGCACGGCTGCAGACACTCGTGTGTCAACACGCTAGGCTGCAAGCTGCACTCCGACGGGTAGAGGTGCGAGAGTGAAGGAAATACACAAGTTTTAAAATATTTCACACCCTTATTGGCTATAGCTTAGAGCTTAAAATAGTGAGGTTGACATTATTATATATACATATATTTATTTATTCTAGACAAACTTCATGTCATTGACGGTAAGCACACGAAAGTCACAATGGTGAACTGACTCAAATCATTGTTATCAGCAGTCATCCACTAGATCTCAAGTGATGGTAGACTAGACGAGAAGTTAGTTGGATCAGCCTTTATGAACTACCATACCAACCATCCTCACCTTGTCGGCATGCCTAAACCAATGATTCTTTATGCCTCTTTAGAAGGATCCCAGATTTAAGAAAAGAATAGCAGGTACGCGCGAAAATAATTCCACTTGTGAATAAATAGTAAGACAAAGAAATGAGTCAACAAATTTCTTTGTTCATGTAGGAATCATATTAGTAACGAAGAAAACTTAACTATGTTGTTTATTCCCAGATGCTTGCGGCGGTCTCCTATACGCCCCCAATGGCACGATAACGTCTCCATCATTCCCGGATCTGTACCCACCGTCCAAGAACTGCCTGTGGGAGATCGTGGCGCCCCCTCAGCACAGGATCACTCTCAACTTCACACACTTCGACTTGGAAGGCAACAGCATGTATCAGCAGGTATCATAAAATAGTGCGATTATTATATTTTAAACATATCAAACATATGGAATTACTATGGAGCTTGAAGAACCAAATTGATAGAAATCAAGTCATTGGGTGGCTTAGCCATATTTATTTGGTATAGTTCCAATCGCTCAGTTTTGATCTAGGCCACGGCTGTAAGATGCCATTTTACTGGTGCTTGGCTATAGCCAAAGAAATAAACAGGAACTATCATAACAACAGGTCTGTTTCTAACATGATATTGTAAACATTAAACTAATTTTAACAACAAACGTTGTTTTTAGAGAGCATGACAAGGATTCACTGTTTAGCGAATTTAATTTTAGGGTTAGAGGATTTTGTCAGGATCAGGCCCATTACAGGCATCAGAAAAATGATCTCGGTTGTGAACATCCAAATGAATTGATTTAAATAGAGCATCAAACTTATTTAAGACTAGTGGCCCGCCCTCGCTTCGCTTCGGGGTAGAATTGATCAAAATCCTTTCTTAGCGGATGCCAACGTCATAACATCTACCTGCATGCCAAATTTCAGCCCGATCCGTCCAGTGGTTTGGGCTGTGCGTTGATAGATCACTATGTCAGTCAGTCACCTTTGAGTTTTATATATATAGATGAATTGTTTACGTTTCATCAGGAATGTGAGTACGACAGCGTGACAGTTAACTCGAAGTTGGGCGCTGACGTGCTGCGAAGACACGGAGCCTTCTGCGGGAACGCTCTGCCCCCACCTGTCACCTCTGATGGATCCGTGCTGAGAGTGCAGGTAAATTGATAGAACTTCTCGAAAATAAGCAACAGTATAGGCAGGACAGTGCTAAGAGGTTTAGAGACCCTGGGGTAAAGAAAGAGCGAGACTCTTAATTAAGTATAGCTATATAAACACGGAGGAGGAGCTCGATGGCGCAAGTGGTTAGCGCGTTCCGCTGCGATCGTTGAATTTAAGCAACTTTCGCAGTGGTTGGTCATTGGATGGGTGACCGAAAATTTACTATCTCGAGCTCCTCCGTGCTTTGGAAGGCACGTTAAGCCGTTGGTCCCGGCTGCATCTGCAGTGATGCAGTCGTTAGCACCCACCAACCTGCACTGGGCCCGCGTGGTGGGTCATGGCCCAATATCCCTATTCCATCCATAGGGAAGGCCTGTGCCCCAGCAGTGGGGACATTAATAGGCTGATGATGATGATGATGATATAAACACGGAAAAATTGCGGATTCCTCGAAATACGGTTATTTTTCATCTTTGTTGTGGGGTCCTCTCTTTTGGATGTGCCAGGGCAGTATAGACTAAGAGCTAGTGAACCCTCCGAGTTCTGATGCGGATCCAGAAATTCTGGTCACTTTTTTTTAACTTTACAATAAATAAACAAAATTGTATAAATATTTGAAGCTTACAGCAACAAGTTTTTCTTTCATATTTTGTCGACAATTTCAAAAATATTGGGATTGGTGACGTGCAGGGCTGAGGCGTGCCAAGCGATGCTTAACCGTACTGAGCATACTATGTCTCATCACCATAAGAATTTCTAGCCTTACAGACATACCGTTACTCGGAGGGTTCACTAGCTCTCCTACTAGTAGCCCTGTCTGCTCTACCCTAAATTCGACCCTGAGTATGGATTCCTAGTCTTTTAATAATATATCCTAACTATATGGTAATAAGAAATATCATTTCTAGTTCGTTGGAGAGAAGCTAATTATATTTTGCCGGTTTCTATTGAATATGCATGGTAATAACGATGCTCATTTTTTTGAAGACTAGCGGCCCGCCCTCGCTTCGCTTCGGTGTAGAGCTGAAGTGTAGACTACAGTTTTTGTTCTCAGGCTTGTATTATACACAATGACATTCATCTGTGATTCTTCTTATACCTGCATGCAAAGTCTCAGCCCGATCGGTTTAAAATTGACAAAGTTTCATACAAACTTTCATTCCCTATTTTATCCCCTTGGGGGTAGAATTGATCAAAATCCTTTCTTAGCGGATGCCTACGTCATTACATCTACCTGCATGCCAAATTTTAAATGAGATTTTTTCAATTTCAGCCCGATCCGTCCAGTAGTTTGGGCTGTGAGTTGATAGATCACTATGTCAGTCAGTCAGTCACCTTTGAGTTTTATATATATATATATAGAAGATGTAACTGATAATTTTCCCAACAGTTCACGTCCGATTCTTCTGTCCATCGCTCCGGTTTCGCTGCAGTCTATTATATAGACGAGGATGAGTGCGCCGAGAACAACGGCGGTTGCCAGCACGAATGCCACAACACATTGGGTGGTTACGAATGTGCTTGTCATAGCGGCTTCACTCTGCACCCGAACAAACATGACTGTAAGGAGGGTGGATGCAAACATGACGTCACGCAGCCACACGGCACTATCATAAGGTAATTTAATGATTGCCTGTCTTAGATTAAAACAATTCCATCTTCGAAAGTATCCCATTTTCAAATTTGTTTTTTTTTATGATATAACTTTATGTACAATAACTAAGAAGTTTTAATATCTTCATTTAAGGAGTATTTAATTTATTATATTATATATTATTTAGATTTTTTTTCATTAAGCTAGCATTCTTAGTTTGCGAGATTTTTAAGATTATTTAAGTGACTCGGATTCATTGGTCTCTACTTGCTACGGCATTCGCGGCTCAAAAGTGATCCGCTTGACTCGGACGCGGACTCACCGTTTCGCTTGCGCTACGATGAAGCGTACAGTCGTTCGCTACGATGAAGTGTCTTACAGACGTGTGCGTGCGTGAGAGTTGCTTATGTAGTTGAGTCGGAGCATATTTAACTGATGCTAGTATGAGTGTACCGTATCTTCCCTTTTTGTTTTAATCTAAGTTGCCTGTTCATTATATTTACATTTGAACGTTAGGTGGCTACAGATGTACTTGTCACAGCGGCTTCACTTTACACCCGAACAAATATGATTGTAAGGAGGCTGGATGCAAACATGTCGTCAAGCAGCCGCATTTCACCATTGTTAGGCTATTTCTCCTTTTTTTTTATGAAATTTTCCATACCTAATTTAGAACCATTATTGTATTCCTTCACATAATAAAGATCATGCTCTGGAGGACCATAGATTAGTTAGTTAAAGAGAAATTGCTTAACTACTTTACTTTTCTTAAATATTATAATTAGATTTTTTTAAGTACCAGTCAAATAATTTTGTAATACTTATTTAAAAGCTCTATGACGTGGCAGTAATATACTATCGTCTCACTTTCAACTCGGTTAGTTTTTTGTATTTTTACAATTTATTTCATTTTCTTCGACAGTCCAAATTATCCAGATACATACCCATCTCGGAAAGATTGCGTGTGGCAGTTCTCCACTACTCCAGGACATCGGATCAAACTTATCTTCAACGTTTTCGAGTTGGAACCACATCAGGTACTTAGCTGCTCTAAGGGAAAGCAACCTACAAAAGGTCGTTCTCAATATATAAAAGTTTCACATCAGTCAAACATTTAAATGTTCAGTTATCAAGTAACATTCATATTTTTTTATAGATAGGTCCGACAAATGACCCCACCCCACCTGATGTTAAGTGAAAGTGAAGTCCAGACACGAAGATAGCTGATACAGCAGTTCTACCTGCCACACCAGCCATTCTCACCATGACGGCCTGCATGTTGCTTCTTCACGCCTCTTTTAAAGGATCCCAGGTTGTAAGAGGGAGGGAACACGTGAGCGGGCAGAGCATTCCATTTACGGATATTGCGCGATGATATGAGTCACCAATTCTTTGTACGCGTTGGAATTGTGGCTAAAGTTAGACGGTGACAAGGTAAGCTAGCGCGCGTGGTCCTCTGAAGGAAAGGGGAAGGTGGGATAAGAGAGAATAACTCCTCAGAACACTCGCCGTGGTACAGACGATAGAACGCGCTTAGTGACGCCACGTCACGGCGTAATTGAGGAGGCTCGAGGTGTTTAGTCACCTCCTCATCGCGTCCTAATGCACATTTTAACTGTACAGGAATGCGCGTACGACCACGTAACGATATATGATGGTGCGTCAGCAGACGAGAAGACGCTTGGCCGCTTCTGTGGCAGCAAGATCCCGCACCCCGTGGTCGCGTCGCAGAACCAGATGTACGTCGTGTTCAAGTCCGATGCTTCGGTGCAGAGGAAAGGCTTCTTGGCAACCCATTCCACTGGTAAGATTATTGGAACAAAGATTTTGCTGCGCGACCGAACTGAAAAAAATGTGATAGTAAAACCTTAAGAAAAAATGCGTGGAAAAAAGTGCGTGGAATAAAACCGTTAAATGAGACGTGCGCAGGCGCGACAGTCGCATACACAAGCGAGTTTGCAATTTGTGTCGATTCTACATTAGCCGAAGGAACTTCGTTCCTACCTGGTGTCCCACGACACCACATCATTTCTTTTTTCATCATCATCACTGCGCCCACTGCTGAGTACAGGCGTCCCCCAAAGATTTCCACGTTGATCGGTTCAGAGCCATCCGCATTCAGCGCAAAAAAATAGCTGATTATGATGCTCTGAATACAATTCATCCCTATGTCAATAAAATAGCTTGGCTGTTTACCTTATATAAAAAATTGGGAATTGAAAACTGCTCATAAACTAAGGAATGTTCTATCAGAATTTAGGGTAACACTTTGCAGAGCACGTTTCGTTGAATAAATTTTTATAATAGGAAAACTACGAATACTTCTCTAGCAAAATCCGCAGTTTGAGTCATCTTTTAGCCTTTTAAGATTTTTTTTTAATAGAACAGTGCTTAGCTAAAAAGCACCTCAATGGTAGCTTATCACCTTCAGAATAACAAAATAAATAATTGTTTACCACCTTTTTGAAATTACTACTCAATGGTGTCGATTCTGGCAGGATTCTCTAAACTTAATAGTAAAGGACATTGTTCTGCGTCCATACATAGTTAACCTAAAAACCAACAATCATGAAATATTATTTTCTAGGTTCGAAATCGCAAGTAAATGACTGTAAAAACAAAGATTATTGACGGACACTTCTGAGTACTTAAATTATTAGGAAAACTAAATTTTTTTTGAGGTTATGTTTAATATTCAATGTAACATAGGTCAACCTATGAATTTAGTATGAACTCAGTATGAAGTGAATTAATATTACAACTAATTCATTTTATTCGGTGCGATTTTAAAGAATAACTATTAGAAGAACTTGGTTAGGAATCATGAATAAAATAAAAACAATAGTTTTGCTTCTTATTATTATTGACTATTTTTCACATAATTGTTTCATATTGTATTTATTTGTTTAACACATGTATATTGTGTAAATATGCAACGTGAATTGCACCTGATTCACGGTGCTCTTGAATAATTTGGCAGTATGATCCTCTCAGGATGTTGTGTAACATTGATGGCATATAAGATAGCCGAAAAAGTAATAGTTAAATTAAAGAAAAAACAATCGCAAATAAACACACACAGCAGGTAATCTGAACGAGAATTTTCCGTATATAAAAAATACTCTTTGACGAGAATGCACGAATGCCACAGATTACTACGAATGCGAACTGCCTGCACCACAACCACAAAGTATCGAGTTTATGCCGACCCTTCACTTGACAACGGTTTGTCCTTGTCGTGCTTAATAAGGACTGAAAAAGACAGACTGATGTCATGTTTTTAAATAGCAAATACGAATAGCCAAGTGAAGTGCCGGCATTAGGAAGAAAGTGTTTTTGTTTGCAGCGCTGTCATAGATTATACACATAAAATGGTATTTATTGTCTCAGATTATTTATTAACTTTTTAATTTACCTTACTTAACTGGAAGTGTCCGTCACAATCTAAATACTGATAATTATCGCAAAAAATATACTAAGAATTATCATCAATGCCAAATTGGTGTTGGTTCTTAGGCCAATTTTAACATTGACCTTTAACATCAGTCTGTCCTTTTCATTCTGTATAGAGAATGACAAAGATACACTGTTGTCAAATTTAAGTTTAGCTTTAGAGAATCATGCCAGAATCGACATCATTATCTATTTACTATGACGGAGTCTCCCGACTCCCGATTGAGTATGGAGAGAACAGAGCGCCTTAGACATGGTCCGTAAGTATGCATCGTTTCGCTTCATTAATTTTATTTATTTATCTTTAACAAAGTTTCTACCGCAATTTTTGTGGATGTAATACAATAAAATATAAATACAATCTTAAGGCCAATTACAGAAACTTATTATATACACACTAGCAAACCAGTGAACCAAATGTTCACCAAAAAAAAAAACAAAAAAAAAATATTTAACTAAGTAATTGAGAACTTCGGAGATTTTGTGTGGTTTCGTTTGAAATAGAAATAAAGTGATTTCTCGAAAACTGGAAGTGCTACGTTACTCACATCCGGTTTGTAGTCTTATCAGACTATTCTCAACTTATAACTTAAACATTCTCTATATCTATCTCTTACGGTTTGGCCGCTGAAACAGCACCACGGACGGACGGACGGACTTGTCTATTAGATAAGAGATTAGATACTAAAGGCGTTGCTATATATCAATAACACGTTTAATTTAAGAAATAGTATAAAAACTAATAATTTAGTATCGCCGCACACGGGCCACACGCCACAGCCACAAACGCCGCCACGAGAAGCTAGAAGCGGCTACTAAAGTGGCTGAAGCGCGCGACAGCGGCCGACTAAGGTAAGGCCGTATACTGAAAGAAAGCCGAAAGCCGATCGGCGCTTGTCGGCGCCGATCCTTCCTACATAAAGGAAGCCGATTAAAGCAGATCAAGCAAAATGTCGGACTCATCGGACGATGATTTGGTTTTGTTAGAAAATATTTATTTAAAAATGCGAAAAACAGCTATACATCCTATAAATAGAGAAAGGAAACGTTTCGGAGAATACCATCATTTATTTGTAAAAAAAATTAAATTTGATGAACAAAGATTTTATACATATACAAGAATGATTCAAGAAACATTTTATTACATTTTGGATTTAGTGAAAAACCGTTTGATGAAAAATTGGGGCAATTGGCATAAACAACCAATCCTTCCAGAAGAAAGACTTGTTGTCACCATTCGGTAAGTACGAAACAAATAATTTTAGCGCTTAGTTAATAAAAGATAAAGTTATTAGATTTATAAAAAGATTATAACTTAGATTGATTTAATCTAAGGATAATAATTCAAATACAAATTATTTATTATTCGGACCAGCGCGTGTCGGCGCTTATCGGCGCTTATCAGCGCCGATCGGCTTTCGGCTTTCTTTCTGTATACGGCCTAAGGGAGAGAGGGGTGGGGAATCGCGCGAGTGACGGTGGCGGCGTTTTGTATCGGCGCATTAAATGGCCGGTGCGGGCCACAAGAAGCGAGCAACGACGATTTGTAGCGTGTGGCGGCATACCGTGTGTGGCGTGTGTGGCGAGTCCATATAAAATGTATGAAAAATACAAGAAATACGCCGGTGGCGGCGTTTTGTGTTTGTGGTCGGTGACCCGTGTGCGGCGACACTTACTAACATAAAATTACTATATAATGACTCTTTTCATACAAACATGTCGGTGTTACTTATTTACTGATTCCTTTCATACACTCATGCCGATTTTTGCGGTTTCTAACTCATCATCATCATCAGCCTATTAATGTCCCCACTGCTGGGGCACAGGCCTTCCCTATGGATGGAATAGGGAGATTGGGCATGACCCAACACGCGGGCCCAGTGCGGATTGGTGGGTGCTAACGACTGCAGATGCAGCCGGGACCAACGGCTTAACGTGCCTTCCGAAGCACGGAGGGGCTCGAGATAGTAAATTTTTGGTCACCCATCCGATGACCGACCACTGCGAAAGTTGCTTAACTTCAACGATCGCAGCCGAACGCGCTAACCACTTGCGCCATCGAGCTCCAGGTTTCTATTAGCTTATCACTATTCCTTGCTTGATATTAAATTATCTGCCTTCAATAGCATGCGGAGGCTACTTAGCAGCATCAGAAACCGTGAAGCATCTGTACTCGCACGCGAGATACGGTGACGATTCGTATGAGTCCAGAGCTGACTGCGACTGGAGTATCGTGGCGCCTATAGGCCAGTTCGTGCGGCTGACCTTCCTCACCTTCGAGCTGGAGCCTGAGGCCAACTGTGGCTACGACTACGTCCAGGTGTTCGGTGGATTGGAAGGCAGCGCCGGCGACTACGGCACTTTCTGTGGCACTAAGGTATATAACGAGCCGTTACCGCCACCAGATGGCTTCGTTTTATGTAACATTTCGTTTGGTGATTAAAAGAAGTTTTTTTTTTAATTTTTCCTGAACTTTCTTTGCTATAAACCTCATGAAGCCCGAGACCTTTCCAACGAAAGCAAAACCGTGGAAATCGGTTCGTGCGTTCTGGAGTTATAGCGTCAGGAAGGAAAACCCGACTTATTTTTATATAGTAGATAATTATATATATATATTTTTTGTCGAAATGCGTTTTTTGTGGAAACTAATATTTTAAACCGTAACGGACCCATCTCTGTTTTTTCCCTCCAACCCAAAAGAACACCGTTATAATATAACGGAAGGAATTCCGTTATATTATAACGGTGTTCTTTTGGAGGGAAATATCAACAGAGATGGGTCTGTTACGGTTTAAAATATTAGTTTCCACAAAAAACACATTTCGACAAAAGTGTCGCTTACGATAATTTGGCGGTAACGGCTCGATAAGTCTTAAGGAGATTAGTAAGTACCTAATTGGGGTGATGACGGGGTACAGTAAACGAAATTCTATTGAGTCCGTCAGTTAGATCATCAAAAAATAATGGACACGTATTTTTTCTTTGGGCAATCAACCAAAAAATGACAAAGTTATAGCGCATCAAAGTTTGGGAGTAGGGGCTCGTGACGTCACTTTTAAGTGAATTTTCACTTAAAAGTGTACTCAAACGAGACGTCATGCGACTTTTCAAATCAATATATTATCTCTTCAATGTTTATATTATGTGAAAAAAGAAAAAATACGTGTCCAATACTTTTTGATAATCTACCTGATAAACGAAGAAAAAAAATTAGTCATCATCCCTATTAGCTTTAGTTCGCACGTTTTAAAGTTGACTTTCGATATAATTGCTATCGTTATCGTTGTGTGTTCTGCTCAAACTAGAGAAGGGTACAAGACGATGAAGTTCACGTTATATCGAATGTCGATACATGGCGAACTGTGACTAGAAGAAATCGGTTTTCCTTGACAGTTTAATCATATTACCTAGATTATTAATCATCTTAGAACCTATCTCTACCCCGAGTTCAGTTGTTCGAACTTTCGGAGGATTCAAAGGTATCACTAATGAATACGGCACTTTTGCTGTAGTACTAAAATACATTTATAAGATTAAAATGCAGCTATGAGATATTAGCCTTAATGTTTTTGGCCAAATAATATTACCGAGTAACTGCGAGTTACTTTGACCTAAAATGTGTACTTTTTTTTCAAATAAAATTTAGCTTCTGTTTGTGATGAATATGTCACGTTTATATCTTTCCATTGTGAACTTTAAAGTATAAGTTACAAATTTATCATACGAAAGTAGGAAAAAATAATATTTAAGGTTTAATGTATATTTTTTTAATTTTGGGCCAAAGTTAAAGAGGGTTACTTTAGCTCGTTGAGTTTTCTCTGTGAAAAAAAATCATTTTAAGCCATGTTGGGGTTAAGTAAATCCTTAGTAACAGATCACCATTAGCATACTGAATACACAAATGGATGTTTTTGCCCAAAAATAATTAAGTTAAATAAAAATATAACTTTAAATTTAGAAAAAATAGTAAACTTACCGAAAATCACAGTGTTGAGAAAGTTTGCGCATGAACTTGCGAACTATTTTAGTTACAAAAAATCCCGCGTTACAATGACAACTTGATACAGGAACGATGTCGGTAAAACAACATCACACTACGCGCCTATATTGCCATCTGTGATTTTCAATTGGAACTATTACGGTCACCCAAGAGATACTGATGGGGCGGCAAGTTCAATATTATTTCTGATTTGGGACAAAGTTACCCGCCCGAGCTAAAGTAACTCTCACTTACGGTAAACATGAGAACCTCTTAGTAGAGGCTCCTACGTACGGATACATCGTAAAACATTGTGCTATTCACTTTAATATGACGACTTTGACGACCTCCGTGGCCGAGTGGTTTGTACGCCGGGTTTCATGGTGTCGCCGACTCGAGAGGTCCCGGGTTCGAATCCCGGTGGGGGCAGATGTTTGTGTGATGAATATGTGCATTTGTACTCCAGTCATGGATGTTTAATATGTATTTCTATATAAATCTTTATATATATAATTCTTCTGTGAGTGTGTATGTCACTGAACTTCTCTTAAACGACTGGACCGATTTTGATGAAATTTTTTGTGTGTGTTCAAGAGAATGGTTTAGATTCACAATTTTGTCCGCTGGACAACCCTTATTTTTTTAGGGCGGTACGAAGTTCGCTGGGTCAGCTAGTATACTTATATATGTACAGTATATGTATTCTATCCGTTACCCTAGTATCCCATAACACAAGCCTTATAGTGCTTACTTTGGGGCTAGGCTAATTGGTGTGTAAAAAAAAACAAAAAACAAAATACAATCTTTGCTAATCCCCAGATGCCACCAGAAATAGTCTCCACCACGGAGGCTCTCCTCGTCAGATTCAGGACAGACGACTCGATAGTGTTCAAAGGCTTCTCCGCATCATACCAGGCGGTGGCACCTGAGGTATGGAGCGGTGAGGAGAGCGGGGAGGGGAACGAAGGGGAGATTGAAGAAGACGAGCGCATGCCGCCTTTGGTTGTCGGACGACGGGCATCCCCTCGCCTCGCGCGCCCCGCGTGACGTCAGCCTGTGACCCGCCTGAGACCCCGCACCCGATCACGCCGACCCAATAGATACTGGCTTGTACCCCTGCCGTATCCTTCGTAACCTATCACAATCTACAGCGTTCCTTGTAACCATATAACCAGACCCGTCTTTCCCAGTGGGCAGTTTGGGCAAGTGCCCTGGGCCCCGCGATCGATAGGGGGCCCCTCAGATCGAATACAAAGTCCCTAGTTCCTGTTAAATCTCCAAACGGAAGTCATAGGGGCCCCATCATCCTAATATGCCCAGGGCCTCCAATAGATCAAAGACGGCACTGCATGTAACACACATATACATAGTCCGCCACACTCTCACTTACTATAGCTGTATATATCGCATATACTATAGTGCGTATCCCCCCCGAATCGTGCGTCCCGCGTGACGTCAGCCGGTGACCCGCCCAAGACCCCAAACCCGATCACGCCGCCCAAACAGATACTGGCTTGTACCTCTGCTTTATTCCTCGTAACCAACTGTTACTATAGGGCCTCTCGTAACCTTTTAACACCCACACATTACTATGGTGCCCTTCATAACCTCGTTACACACATGTATATATATAGGAACACTATAGCGCGAGTCCCTTGCCCCGCGTGCGACTGGCACCGCTACTGTATCCACTGTAACCTGCCACATTGTGTATCATCAACAGCCTATCCTAGTCCACTGCTGGACATAGGCCTCTCCAATTGCACGCCACTCAGATCGATCTAGGGCTACTCGCATCCAGCTCCTGCCAGCCATCTTGCGCAAATCGTCACTCCATCGTGCCTGAGGACGTCCTACACTACGTTTGCCTAGACGCGGTCTCCACTCCAGAACTCGTCTACCCCAACGGTTATCGGTTCTTCGGCAAATATGGCCAGCCCACTGCCACTTCAACTTGCTAATCCAGTGGGCTATGTCGATGACTCTGGTTCTCTGTCGGATTACCTCATTTCTGATGCGATCCTTCAGAGAAACGCCGAGCATAGCCCTTTCCATAGCGCGCTGAGCGGATTTGAAACTGTGGACCAGCCGTACCGTCAGTGTCCACGTTTTGTCCACATTGTGTATAGCGCCCTGGAATCCTGATAACACTTACACATACTAGAGCACGTCCCGTGTGACGTCAGACTGTGACTGGCCTGAGACCCCGCATCCGATCACGCCGTCCAAATAGATACTGGCTCATGCCGCTACCATATCCCTCGTAACCTACTATCACCATCATATCAGCTGTACGACGCCCAGTGCTGAGCATAGACCTCCCCCAAGGATCTCCACACCGATCAGTTCTGCGCCAATCGCATACATCGGCTTCTTCTTCTTCTTGCTACGGGCGTTCCCGCAACTCGACGTCCTTATGGCGCCTGTTGTGCGTGAAGAGGGTGTATGGCCGGAATCACTCCAGCCTGCCCAGCTCCGCCAGGAAGGCCCCCAGGGCCTTCACGTTGGTGATTGCCTCTTGAAGGTTTCCCGGTGAGCCGAGGTATTTCGCCCGGTATTCGGCCACTCCGTTGCATTCCAGCAGAACGTGAGTAGCTGTTTCTTCTGCCTCCATGCATCCTCTGCATAGGGGGCTGTCCGTGACACCTATGTTGAAAAGATGTCTGTTAAAATGTGCATGTCCAGTAATAGCACCTGTTACCATGCGCAATGTAGGTTTGCTTAGCTGTAGGATATACAACGGCTTACCGCGACCTTTACAAGATCGTCGGTCCACCTCGTAGGGTCTGCCCACTGAGCGTCGTCCGGTGCATGGTCGCCATTTCAGAACCTTTCCGCCCCAACGGCCATCGGTTCTTCTTACTGTGTCCCGCCCACTGGTTCGCAGGTTCAGTGGCTGACATTTCACGCACCCCTACATCGTCTTACATTTCGTTTACTACGCTGAGACTCGTGCGTAGCTTACATTACCCTTCGTAACCTCGTAACACTCACATACATTAGCAACCGTCCTAATCATCATACTTACTATAGCATCCGCACCGCGAAACACCGTTATTGGCTCGTATTGCTACCATATCCCTCGTAACGGACTCGCAGTCACATATCTTCTTTCTTCATTGCAACGGATGTCTCCGCAATCCATCGTCCTTTTATGGCGCCTATTTTGCGTGTGGTGGGTCGGAGCCAATCCAGCTTGCCCAGCCGGAATGCCCCCAGTCTTCACATTATTATTGCCTCTTGGAGGTTTCCCGATGACCCGATGTGGAGTAGTAGAAGGTACTCAATCATGCGTGCGATTCAAACTTTATGGCGGTTGTAATGTCAGCAATAGCAATATGTCAGGTTTCAGGTCAGTGACGGGAGCGCCTGCATTCGTTTACTGTGCCGCGATTCGCGCACTTCTCAGGCACCGTTATACGTAGTAACTATTAAGTAATCTGTGCCATTATGTTTGACCAAACGCACCGCTACTGGCTTGTGCCGCCACCATACCCATCGTAAGCGACCCATATTCACCCATACACTGCAATTCAAACTTTACGTCGGTTATGAGGGTAGCTGTGAATCCAGGTTTCGATTCGGTGAAGGCGTAAAATTCATTTATAATAATATGTATGTTGAAAAAAAACCGTTGTGCCGAGGGATCAGCTAAAAAAAACTACAGTGTCGCTGTAAAATTTTCAGTAGAAATTTACAAGTTACAACCCAAGCACTCCATCATTAAGGAAAATGAAAAAATAATGTTATATATTATGTACGAGTAGGAGAGCGTAACATAGCGGCCCGCGTGAATATTGTAAACTATATTTTTTTAAATGCCTTCCAAATGTATGTTAATTTTGTCTAGGTAAGTATACCAATAAGTAATTTTATCTTAGTATACTTACCTAGACAAAATTACCTACTGTGAAAATAAAATTCACAATATTATTATTTCTGTTATTGTTATTTTGATATGAATTATATATCATTTGACTAATTTATCCAATCAATGGGGGAACTCTAATTTACTTAGTGGTCGGCTCTCGGGAATATGCCTAATTAAAAAAAAATGCAAATTTACTTATTTTTTACGACTGATTGAAAATTGTAAATAAATTATTGATAGTTAATAATGTTTAGATTTATTACTTAACTATTATTATTGGGGTTTGCCTGCTGGATACTCGTAATATCTACCAAAGATTTCTCTTATTTAAAAACCTTGAATGTTTCAATTTCTGTATGTCTAAGACTTAAACTAAGTAGACGTTTTGATTTATCTTTTGTTGGTGAACGGTACTTTATAAATAGATCGTTAATAATGTGTGGATTTATAGACAGTTATTTTTCATCAAAAAATGTAAGTATTTTCGCATTTTACGACCAAAGAAGAAATTGTTTAATGTTCAATTTTGTTACTAATGTTTATTATTTTATTGAAGGGTATAAACCTATATTTATTTCTTCATTTATATACAATATTACTGCACATCTCTGTGTGATGTTATATAAATAAAAAAAAAACAAAACAATTATTGACTAACTTTTAATAAAACAAATGTCATGTCATGGTTGTTTTCTACGACATAAGAATAGAGTCCCTTTCACAAAAGAATTCCCGTTAGTCTCGCGGCAATTGATGAATATTGGAACTATTTTTACAATACGAACCTTGTTGTACTTAGTGAATTTAACTATTTTTACAGTAGGAACCATGTTGCACTTAGTGAATTTTTCATTAACGAGCTGCAAGCATATATTACCCCACTCAACCTGATGTGAAATTTCAGTGGAGTCCAGTCGCTAAAATAAGACAGTAATTCCAACCTTACCGACCTGGGGCCCAATTATATTATCGCTTCAAACGAATAAATCTCGTCAATTGCAATGTGTGAAGTTTGTAAAGTCTGAAGTTTGTAATGTCGACAGCAATACGTTACGTCTCGTACGGTTCCGACTACGCAAAGCAATTCGATCGTTACTCGTTCGAATAATGTCGTATTAGACATTATGAGAATTGCACTACATAGGTATTTAGTTTTTCGAACTTTGAACTTAATTTCGCTGGATCCGAATACAGAACACCAGTGCAACCTTTCTTACTGAAAAAAAAAAACAAGAACAAAGATTGCTTATTTTTTTACTGCGGTCATAAGTAAGGTGGAGGTCCTTATATATTAAAAACACAACACGTCGCGTACGCGTTATTCGTTGCAATAAAAAAAGTACTTCAAATGCTTAAAGTTGTTAAAACTGTCAGCTTTTACGGGACTTCTTTCGTGAAAAGCACTCTAGAAAGTGAATTGTACCAACAGATGTGCCATACTAAAAAAAAACTGTAATTAAGAATAATAATTTTAAGTATAATAATGTAATCAGACTTATTCCATGTTTTCTTTTGTCTATTAACTTAGCGCAAGTAGAAGTAAATTACTGAGACAATATGTAATATTAAGGAAGGTGTACATTAATTTTGTCATAAAATAATATTTATAATAAGTAAGTGTTCCGAATCATATCAATCGCATAATATTCATAGGATGTTAATCGATTTTCGTATATAACTGTATACTGATAGCAACTTAAGTACAATACAGACCACACGTTTTTTTATCATGGCAATTTGCCATAAAGTAGACGTAGGAAATATTAAAAATGTTTGTTGTTACATAGTTATACCTACCAAGGTAGATATTACTTTTAGAAATATTACTGACACAGTATAATCTGTTTCTATCTTTTAATGAATAACGTTTTAATAAACAATAACCACCCCTAGCACGAACCATTAACGAATTCGAATAGTTTGTGAGTCCGAAATGTCATTGTCAAATTTTGTATGGCAACTTTTGCTGTTTAAACAGCACCACAACGGACGTAACGAAAACTAAAAATCTGTACACATTCGACAATGACATTTCGCACTCGCAAACTATTCGAATTCGATATCGGTTCGTGCTAAGGGTCCTGAACCATAATAACTATTAGTTAGACAGCTTCTTACATCATTGCTCAGAGGTAGTCAATGCCTGTTTATGTTAAGCAATTTAAGTTATAATTGTGCCAAAACATTCAGTACTTTAAGTAATGTAAAGTAACCTATCTATGTTAGTGTTTTATAACATAAGTATGGATATGTGAGTAGGAAGTTATTTTTATTAAAATGCCATCAAATTGAATGATTCTTTAATTCTTTACCCACCATAGGGGCGAATGCACTGGCCGCTACCTAGGCCTTAACAGATGTGTCAAATTTCTTATAGTATATCTTTCTCTTGGGTTCTCTAGCCACTTACTTGTTTATACACACATCAAAAGTGTCTAGGGATCAACATATATTTTTGCAATAACTTTTCTCTTGATTGATATTAATTAAAATTTTCTTTAAGGATTCATCAAATAAAGTGTTTTCGTTTGTCACAGTAACGATAAACCAAGTCACCTTTGCATAAAGAAATTTGCCATTTTCCTAATAAAGGGATTTTTGACATTTGAACCACTAACACAAAAGTTCGAAAAAAAGACTGAAATAACAGTTTTCTCTAAAATTTTATTGGGTAACTTAAACAATTAATAATCCGTATTTCTACCGCGAACACTAACAACACAAGAACATCGGTTTGGCATACTCAAAATGAGTTCATCCAAATCACGCTGTGGAATGGCCGCCCATGTTCGTTGCAACAACAAAAAAAGGTCTTCTTGCGACTGGATACCCTCCATATTCGGCAGAGCTCTTCTCTGTAGCATATCCCATGCATGCTCAATCGGGTTCAAGTCTGGCGACTGAGCAGGCCAGGGCAGGACATTGATGTTAGCTGCGGCGAGAGTCTGTCTTACAACTCTTGCGGTGTGCGGTCGTGCATTATCATGCATTAACTGAAATAAGGGACCGATTTGCACTTGTAGAGGAACGATGACGTCTGATACAATCGTCTCAGCATAAATTTGAGCGTTGAGGTTGCCTCTGATCCAAATCAACTCAGTTCTTCCGCCGATCCAAATACCCGCCCATACCATGATGGTTCCACCACTATAAGGATGGACTTCCTGGCAGGATTTTAATCGCTGTTGGCGTCCAGGGGTTCTCCAGTGTCGTATACGTCTTGTATCCGGTCTCATACCAAAACGAGACTCATCAGAAAAGCACACGAAACGCCATTGTTCTTCTGCCCAATTTCTGTGTTCAAGAGCCCATTGATATCGAATCCTACGATTGTGCATTGCTATAGGTGGTACCCGTAGCGGTCTTCGGGAATGAAGGTTCACTTCATGCAAGCGGTTTCTGACTGTTTGGTCGCTAATTAAGTTCCCTGAAGAGTGATGAAGCCTCACGGCTAACATCATGGCGGTTATTGTTGGAGCTCTTCGAGTTAAGATTTGAATGTATCGGTCTTGTCTCCGTGTGGTGCAGCGATACCGTCCTCCATGGCGCTCAGCCACGGTACCAGTGCTTCGGTATCGTGTCCAAAGTCGACTGATAACACTCTGACTTGTATTCAGAGCTAAAGCCACAGTACGTTGCCGGGAACCAGCTTCTATCATTCCCACGGCTCTGAGCATTTCTTCCCTGCTTAAATGACGTCGCCGCTCCATAATAACGTTGGTTTTAATCAGTAGTAGGGAAACAGTAGCACTAATAATGTCTTCAATGCGTTGTATGTTTTTATAGGGAAAATATTGACAGCTGATTTTCATCTTTTACTCGAATTTGATTCACAGTTCCTGATTCAAATTATGAAATGCACCAAAAAGGATCCATATAAATTTATAAAATCATAAATTTATTACAAAGCCACATCTCAATCTCAAGAAATCCGCATAAAAATGCTTGATCCCTAGACACTTTTGATGTGTGTATTATAAAGGCGAAAGTTTTTGAGCGTGTATGTTTGTTATTTCTTCACGTCTAAACGGCGAGAGCGATTTTAATAAATAATAAAATTTGGTATTGAGTTAGCTGACAGCCTGGATTTACAAATAGGCTACGTTTTACTGCAAGAAAATATCCCGAATAAACCGCGGCTAACACCGCGGGGCACAGCTAGTACTTATATGTATATTTACGCACAGAAATATTAATCTGTTAAACGATTTTTACTATACTAAAGACATAGGGGCGTATAGACCCTAGGGGCAAGAGGGCCATGGTCCGGGGCAGCAGGCTGCAAAGAGCAGTTGCAAGAACTTCGAGAGGCAGTAAAAATAAGTGTGTGACGTCACACTCCGAAAATCCCAAGCGTTTCGGTTACGTGACAATAGATAAGAAAACTATTATCTTTTTCGTGGATTTTTAGTAAAATTATGAATATTTTTTTTGTAAAAATATGTAGAAAAATCCCTGCCAATACTCATTGAAATGAAATGAAATGAAATGAAATGAAATGAAATGAAATGAAATGAAATGAAATGAAATGAAATGAAATGAAATGAAATGAAATGAAATGAAAAGTCATTTATTCAGTCTAGGCTGTTACAAGCACTTGTGAAGGTCAAGAAGCTACGCCATCGGTTCGCAAAACTACGGCGGGAGACCTTGTACTGAGAAGAACCGGCAAGAAACTCAGCAAGGGCTGCTTTTTTCTCCCTGTATTGATATATACAGAGTCGTCAAGTTGAAAAATGATTTCAGAGATACATCTGAAGTCACCTTCCATTACATTATTGAGGATATAGATATATAGTTACAATAAATTTTATATTTAGTATATAGGAAGCGGCATTAGATAGGTACCATATTACTGTTTCAAAAACTGACTCATACCCATCAAATAACAAATTACAAGAAACACTATGTCCATGCATTACGATCATTTAGATAATCATTAACTTTATAATAGCCCTTATTCATAAGAGTATTCTTAATCTGAGATTTAAATTTGGTTAGTGGAAGCTCAATCAGATCTTGGGGAACTTTGTTAAACAATGCAATACTACATCCCAGAAATGAACCTCTTGATTTTTGGAGTCTGAAACATGGAACGGCAAGTTTGTTATTATATCTCGTGTTAAAGTTATGGGTTTGACTTTTTTTTGAAAATGCGTCATAGTTTTTTCTTACATATACTAAATTTTCATAAATGTATTGCGATGCCAGTGTTAGAATATTAATTTCTTTAAATTTTTCTCTAAGAGATTCTCTTGCCTTTAAATTATATATGGCGCGAACAGCTCTCTTTTGCAGTACGAAAATACTTTCTATATTAGCAGCTGAGCCCCACAACAAAAGGCCATATGACATAACGCTATGAAAGTAACCAAAGTAAACCAATCTTGCCGTTTCCACATCAGTTAGAAGTCTTATTTTTTTAACAGCAAAAGCCGCAGAGCTCAGTCTACTTGATAAGGCATCAATATGAGGATCCCATTGCAAATGCGAGTCTAAAGTAATACCCAGAAACTTTGTAGAATCCACTAACTCTACAGGCTGGTCATTTATTTTTAAACTAGTATTAACCTGCCTCACATTAGGTAAAGTAAACTTAACACATTTTGTTTTACTAGAGTTTAGTTTTAAATTATTTACCGTAAACCAGTGAAGGACTTCAGAGAGAGCACAATTTACTTCGTCATAACAATCATTTCCTCTCCTAGCTTTAAACACTAAAGAGGTGTCATCAGCAAATAGTACTGTCTCACACAAATCTCTTGTAAAGTGAGGAAGGTCATTAATATAAATAAGGAAAAGCAATGGGCCCAATATTGAACCCTGGGGCACGCCCATAGAAATGGGTGCTCCTGTAGACTCAGCTTGATTTATAACCACTTTCTGAATCCTAGCAGAAAGATAAGACTGTATCAGACTTAGTGAAATATTTGATACACCATAATGCTTCATTTTATTTAACAATGTTTCATGGCTAACGCAGTCAAATGCCTTAGATAAATCGCAAAAAATGCCAATAGCATCGTGCTTACTCTCCCATATATCAAAGATGTGTTTGAGAAGTGCAGTTCCAGCATCAGTAGTACTTTTGCCTCTAGTGAAACCAAACTGTTTTAAATGAAATAGCTTATTTATAGAAAAGTGTGCTAGTAATTGGTTATAAATTATTTTCTCAAATACTTTACTTAGCGCTGGTAATACAGATATAGGCCTAAAATTGCTGGGATCTGATTTCTCACCAGCCTTAAAGAGAGGGATAACTTTAGCACATTTCATTAGATCTGGAAACACTCCCTCATCAATACATTTGTTAAATATAATGGCCAGTTGTGGCGCAATGACAGTGATAATCGGTTTTATTATATATGTTGATATTCCCCAATAATCCTCTGTCTTTTTAATTTTAATTGAATTAAAAGTTTTTATAATACAATCACTACTGATATGTCTAAAATGAAAATCATTACTGCACTTATCAACACTTGACTCAAGGAGGGTCATTGCTAACCTAGAACAAGAATTAAGATTTCTAGTTGTTTCAAATGGTGCACTAGAAAAGAAATTTTGAAAAGTGTTTGCAACGGCATCATCTGTCCTAATAATCTTATTGTCTATTTTTAAAGAATATGTATGTTCATTAAATTTATTTCTTCCAGTTTCATTATTAATTATATTCCAAGTTGTCTTTATTTTATTATCGGAAAGACTAATTTTTTTAGATAAAAACTTAGACTTTGCTATGGCACACACCTTTTTAAAAGTTTTTGAATAGTTTTTGACATATTCTATAAACTTAGGATCAGATGAGGTTGCCTTGAGAGCATATAATTGATACAACATATTTCTACTTTTGTAAATACCCGGTGTGGCCCAATCACTAAATTTCTTTTTAGAGCTATGGCATTTAATTAATTTGCGTTTAAATATTTTATTGAATTCATCTTTAATTAAATTGAATAAATCTTCATACAAAATATTATTATTATTACAAACTGGTAAGTTCGATATTTTGTGATAAACGTTATTTTGAATTTTATTTATACCCGTTTGTGTAATTGGTCTACAAGTTAGGTCATGTTTGGGTGAAGCATGATGGTGTTCAATAGAGGCTAATTGTCCACTATGATCAGAATTAATACAATTTATTATTGATTTATTAAAAACATTTCTATTACAAAAAATATTATCCAAACAGGTTGCTGATGCATGTGTGATGCGGGTAGGCTCAAAGAAGGTATGCTTCAAGTTATATGATCTAAATAAGTTTAGAAACCTACTCACTAATGGACACTTAACTAAAATGTTTATATTAAAATCACCACACACAACAACCACTTTATTACATTTACATACTATATTGAAAGTGTCTTCCATAGCGGACTCAAATTGAGTGTAATTCCCAGATGGGGGTCGATATACACATATTATGATCATTTCTTCCAGTTCCACGCAAGATAGTTCAACATTACGTTCAACTGAAAGTGAAACAATATCTGCACGTATCGAACATTCTAAACACAGATACTAACAATTGGCATTTTATTTTTAGTACTGTCAAATACCTTATTGATACAAAATGAAAAATAGTTGTGCCTCGGCTAGGAATCGAAGCCGGGCTGCCCGCGTGGCAGGTGAATTTTGTACCACTGAACTACCGTCGCTTTTTGATAAAGGTTGATTTTTCTTATATATAATGCGTCATGCTAAAGATGGACAAAAAAATTGTCATGTAATAAAAGTTTCACTTTAAAATCGTTCCTGCTTCTTGCAAACCCGAATATGATTCCAATCCCAAAGTCAAGAGCACAAGAAGTGACGCTTTTGACGCTTCATCTACCTCTAATTCATACTTTTACACCCTCTTACTCTAATTAAAATATTACAAAAAGGACCTGAATTATTACGGGTAAGGTAGTGGTTAAAGAATCCAACGCAACCCAAGATGAATTCGCGAAAAAATGTAATAATCTTGCCCTGCCGTAGTTACCTTGACACCGCCGTCTTGATTAAAAATATAAGGGGATTAGGAATTAGGGGAACTGACGAGTGGTTCTTGCCACTGGAGGATTTATTTTATAAATCGTTTCAATCAACTGATCGGACCTTGATTGCCATAATATAGGTTTAACCTACTGCCTGGGTATATGATCGTAACGTACCTAGCTCTTGCATCGATGATGCTCCTACCTTGTCAAAGACGAGAGAGCAGGCTGAGTTATAATAGCGGTTATTGTGACGCTGTCGCCGCCATACCTACAAAATATGACGACATTTTGGTTTGATTCCATGAATTGCTGTTATTTTGATTCTTTGTTGGTGGAGTCTATAGAAATGAACAATTAACTAGTGAAATCTCTAAAATGAACCATAAACCATTGATCACAGTAGAAACCTTTTTATTTACCTTTCAGAAGTTTATCAAAAAACCCGACCATTAAGTCATACCAAACACTTTATCCATTCTAATGTAAACCAAAAAGAAAAGAAAAAGAATACTGAAGATAAAACTATACATTTTTATTATCTTGCCTTTATGAGATTTTTATAAATTAAAAGTGTTTTTTTTAATATGGCAACATTTATGAGATAAACGTCAATGTCATGCTAATGTCAATCCTCCTTGTTTTGCCTGTCATTTCGTTTGTCATTCTTTTCAAAAAAGCCAAATCGTAATTTATTTCGCCTGTGGCGTCTCATTGACCTTATTTATTTATTTATTAATTTTAAAACACTTCCTGTATCAAGGATACAATATATTTAGTTCAATACATAGTCATTGCTCTCTTAAATATAAAAAAATGACAGCAGTCGCGTTTAAAGTTAAAAGCAAAAACGGGCAGCAAGTATTGAAAGATTTGACCTCTGATAGTACAGTTGGTGAACTAAAAAGCTTTTTGTGCAGCATTTCTGATATTAGTTTCGAGCGAATTTGTGTGCTATGTGGATATCCTCCGAAACCGTTGGATATTAGTGATGATGATAAAAAATTGTGTGACATTGGTCTCAAGACTGGTGAGACTCTTATTGTAGAAGAGAAGGCAGCACCGCTTCCATCAAGCACTCCACAAGAAACTAGTAGCTCTCCAAAGAAAAAACCAGTGGAAAATGGCATTATATCACATGAAACTACAGGGCCCTGCAGACCTGGCATATTGATGAAAAAAGTTGTACCATCGGACAATTCTTGTTTATTCACTAGTATAGGTAGGTATCTATATTTTTAGCTTATATAACCAATTATTGCATGCGTCTTGCCAATTATCTTAAGTAATTAAATCAAGTACACATTTCTACAGACTCAAAATATAAAAATAATAAAGACAAACTTTATAAAACTTATATTTTCACCACATCTATTTTTTATTTAAATAAACCTATGATTTACATACTCAGTACAATTATTATGCAAGTCATCTTGAATGTGAATTAAACATGAACTTTTATTTGAGAAAATGCAAATTAAAAAAAACAGACTGCAAATAGGATAAATTAAAACTCTTTAATTTACAAAATTTTAATTATTCCAGTATAAACAAGTCTGATCATTTATAATTATTTATTTAATTAATAATGTAATATTTGTAATCTTTTGCTTCAGGTTTTGTTTTAAATGGGAATGTGGATACATCAGTCCACACGTTAATGAGGCAAATCATAGCAATGGAAGTTGCTAGTGACCTTGACACATATAGTGAAGCGATGCTTGGGAAACCTAACCCAGAATATTGCACATGGATACAACAACCAAGTTCTTGGGGTGGAGCTATTGAGGTATAAAGAATTAATTCTAATTTCTAGAATTTAAGTCTGTTTAACATTCTTTCACAGTTAAACAATGGTGTCGATTCTAGCATGATTCTCTAAACCTAAACTTAAATTTGACAGCAGTATATATATCCTTGTCATTCTCTATGCAGAATGAAAAAGAGAGACTGATGTTAAATTTAGTTTTAAGTTTAGAGAATCACGCCAGAATTGGCACCATTATCTTACCATTTTTAGCAGGGCTAAGAAAGTCTATATTCTGCAACTATATAATGTGTGTGTCAAAATGTTCAATTTAATATGCATTCAAATATGGTTAATTTTTTCTTTATTATGAAATAGTTGGGAATCTTAAGGAAGGGTATTGAAAATCTATTGATCATGGTACAAGTTGCTGTTTGCAAAAAGTTTATTTAATCAGTAAATGTTGGAATCCAATATCCAGTGCAGTTGGAATTTCGAAGTAATTAGGTACCCAATAAGGTACAGTAAATGTCATGAAATAATCTTAAAATTTATTTTTATTTTTCAGGTGGCAATATTATCTCGCTTTTATGGTTTGGAGATGGCTGTAGTAGATACACTCAATGCAATAATAAATAGATTTGGTGAAGACAAAAATTATGGGCAAAGGGTATTTCTACTTTTCGATGGAGTACATTATGACCCTTTATATCTAGAACAATCTGATGTAAGCAACTTTGTTATTGTATATTATTATTAACAGGTCATAACTATTATATTCAAACAAATAATGATAATTGAATGTCTGTTGTGTATGTTAATCTGTGGTTTGCGGTTGTGACACTATGTTAATAATGAAGTCAAAATAATCAGGATGATATATATATATAACTGTTGCTTAAAAATTGATGCTTTAAAAAATAACTGGGACTAAATTCTGATACACTTTGAGAAAGGTTGGGCATAGCGTATTTTTCTCTGGAATTTAAGCGTCCGACTGAAGAAGACTCCACCTTACAGAAGACCACAGTAAAATAACACTACCTTTTGTTGGTTGCCAGGTTTCTGTCGGTGAGGTAGGTTCCAAGGCTTCACGGGGTTAGGGGATTGGGTCAAAATAGGCAACAATGCGAGTGTCATTTTTTGTATTACATGCGTCTATAGGCTATAGTGGCCACTTACCATCAGGTGGGCCACATGCTTGTGTGCCAACCATTTAACATAAAAAATTGTGTGTGTCAGCTCTGACGCACGACTGGAGTTTACATATAATTAATTTTTAATTTAAATTATAATATTATCTTAATAATTAACAAAAATGGTTATAAAAAGATAATTATGTCACTCAAACTTTTACGTAAACATAATAAATAGTACATGAAAATAAGACACATGGACGTTCGTAAATATGTGGTTCACCAATCTTGAAAATACCTCATCAATGGTTGTACCATACCTCGTTGTCCCCATTGCTCTATCAGAAACTATCTAAATTCAGTTCAATATTTTATTAATGTCAATCCGTCATCTTTGTTTGTCAAAGTTGCGCGACATAGGATGCGCACCAAAAACGTAACGAGGTCATTCATCAATAGATTTTATTCCTCACATTTATCTCATACCGGGCCCCTTATATATGCAAATCGATTCTTAAGGAGTAAACTCCAAAAACTTGATAATACTGCCTACATTTACGTTATCTACTTAATTTTAGGGTGGGATACAAACAGTGTTTCCTGCAGAAGACATGGACATCTATCGTGAGGCTGAGCAACTGGCACAGGAAGCGAAATCCTCCCGACAATTCACAGACTTAAACAAATTCACACTCAAGTGTATGGTGTGCGATAAGCTATTGACTGGCCAAGTCGAAGCCCAGAAACATGCGAAGGAAACAATGCACACGTCTTTTGGAGAAGTCTAGTACACAATGCTTGCAAATGTTTAAGTTTGAGATTTTTTTCAATCAAGTTGTGTCCATTTGTAATGAAAGCTAGTGGGGGTGCAGAATTAATTTGCCTCATTATAAAAAGGCATAGCAGTAGAAAGATCTTAAATTGTAACCTGTCTTTTTTTACACTATAAAAGTATAATTTGGTTCACCCTGGTTCTAATTAATGACCAGCTTACATTGCAATTACATTTTAGCTTAATTTAAGCTTGTGTCACTAAACAAGACGTAAAATAAACGGCGTTTCATTCCCTTTGTTATATTTGTGTAATTGTTTTTATTATAGTTTTTTTTTATTCCGTTAAGTAGAACACCAAGAATTTTCATGCTTTTCTATATTTATATCTTATCTTTATTGATTTACTTCTGTATAATATCCCATTGTAATTAGCTTGTTAAAAAATATTTTCCACCTACAAAACGTTTTAATTATGAAGAGTGTCTTGGTACATTACATATGGTAATGAGTAAATTCCATTACATGAGTACAATTTTCTAATTACCTTCTAATTAATTAGGAACGCTATTCTCTTTTCCTCTAATTGGAATTGGCAGTTGTATTGTAACGTTCTCTGCATAGGTATCATTGTTATGTGCAATACTTGATAGACATTTAAACTTATCAACATTGAAAGTTAATACTAAAATATTGGTCCGATTTATTTCGTAATATTTATGTTAAAAATGAGTGAAGAGCTGGACACAACTTGATGCTAGCTTTATTTTAGGTAACTTTCAACACACCTTCAAATTAAACAGATTTAGTCAAATTCATTTGACGGATGCATGTTATGGGATGAAAGTGTTTTTGTTGGAGATGTTAATGAAGTTGTATAAAATAGCAAAGTTTAACTTGTCATAAAAAAAAATTAAATTAGGTTGTCACAAGAGAGTATTTTTTTATTTTTAAATAATAGCTCTTGTTATTTTAATTAAGTTAACTTCGACTAGGTAAACAATTTATTAAATGAATTAATCAACTCTGAAAACACTAAGGGGTTACTTTTGAAATCTGTTATAACGGTATACTTATTTTTAGCGGTGTAGTATTTGTTTTATTATTATTTATTAACTTGTGTAAAATATTTTTACCCGCTCAATGTATTCTGATGTCACCAAAGTAGTTTTTTATTCAACTACGTTCACCGCACACATTAAATCCAATAAATCTCATTTGAATATATGGTCCTATTTTTTATTGTAAACCCGATTGCTGATAAAATTTATCATTTTGCTATCCCCATTCTGAATAAATAAGTGAATCGGTGTCAATGCAATTCTGAAACTATTAGATAGGTTAGTGATTATATGGCATTTGTAATCAGGTATTGGTTTCAGGTTCTCAGTAAATCATAAGCCCCTATCGGCCGTAAGGGGCCGTTCAAGTATTACGTAACTGCTTACGCAGATTTGCAGATTTATGACAATTATTTACCCCCTCCTCCCCCTTGTCAGCAAAAAAAAATGGTTGCCTGTAAAGTCGGTTTTACGGGCGAAGATTTTACGTGACAACGTCTTTTTCTCGGTAGAATATTTATTGATATGAATATAATTAAATTGCACAATAGGAACAAGGAATTGAATGAAAATAAGAATTGCACAAATTTTAACTATAGAAATATATTTTGTTTACTAAAACATTGTACATGTAAACTTAAACTTAACACGAGAGACTCATCGTAACGTTACCGAGCGTTACACTTTTTCATAAGTGACTCCCAGCCGCAACCTAATTTAAGACGTTGTCACGTCAATAAGCAAAGCTCTTAACCCCGCTCCCCCTCCCATACTTACATAAACATTGGTATGAAGGAAGGCCAAAGTGGGAAGATCTTCCTCCGAGCTAGATGATGGTAGCTCGGGGGCCGCGGCCCGACTGATGTTGGTCGGGCATCGCATATATGAAGAGTTAGCCTCCGAATTTCATTTGCGCGATGTAGGCTTCCATACTAATATTGATCGCAGTGCAGGTAACGCCATCTCTTGAGGATGGTGAGTAATGATTTTTCTACATCCGTTGTCTATATGTGGGGCATATAGATGTCGCCGCTACAGGTATATTCATATTGGTACCTATATGCATTTTTCCTATAATGTATTCTGTTTTTTTATTGCTCATGAGCTATCATGAGTTTCATGAGCAGCAGTACTTAAATAGGCTTAGGATAGAGGACATTAAGGCAAATAATATTCATTTAAACGAACTTTATTGACACAGTATTCAACATAGAGTAAGGTACAAATATTATAATCTTATTAAGTACTATTACGAACAAAACGAACTTCTTTCGAATTTTTGGTATACATATTAATTGCAATCCTTTAGTCCATGCCACCCGAATCTATGATGCTGACGTAATCACTATTTCGACCACCCACCCTACCATGTCATCAAAAAAAATGGGTGCGTGTACTTATGTAGGCGCGTGAGAAGTTATCCTTCTTTGGCATCGTTTTAAATTAGTTTTTAATTGCATGCAAATAATTAATTACAATAAATTAATAAAAAGTCTGGAAAAGGACACAGTCAATAAAGTTCAGTTTTAATTTGAAAAAATAAATAAATAATCAAAATATTCAATTAAAATCGCTACTGAATATAATTTATTAGAACATATGTGATTTGCACTTGTATGAAACTCAAACACGTATTCCGAATATACAAACTAGAAACATGTGGATAAATATTATAAATATGAATACCTATAACTGTTACTTTATTACAAAAAATAAAGATGTGGTTTTTGGTTCTACTACACCAATGGTCAAGAGATGGCGCTGTAGTCTCCTGAATCGCGCTTTGGTTCCGTTGTTCCAGATTAATAAATACTTTTGATATTATAAATATGAATACCTATAACTGTTACTTTATTACAAATAAAGATGTGGTTTTTGGTTCTACTACACCAATGGTCAAGAGATGGCGCTGTAGTCTCCTGAATCGCGCTTTGGTTCCGTTGTTCCAGATTAATAAATACTTTTGATAGGCCTTCACAATGCAGTCGTTAGCACCCACTAAATAGAGATTCTATTTCTATTTTGTTGGTAGATTTTCTTAATGTGCGGTAAACACAAAAGTAACAGCATGAAGTTGGTCGCTAAAGCGACTTCATGCTGTTAATTTTTGTGTTACAGTGATGCGCGCGCATCTTAAAATTTCACTCTCATCATTTTTCATAACGCGCCTAAAGAAGTATAACTTCAATAAGCAAAGCAAAGACCCCCTGCCCCCCAATAGTGCTTACGTAATACTTGAATGGCCCCTTTTTTTTTGTGACGAGGGGAAATGCAGTTACGCACCATACCGTGACGCTGACTAGGCGCACGGCGTGTGTGGGACTCGCCGGCACGGGAAACAGTGCCGACCCTACTCAAGCAGGACCAGTGCGGAAGGCCACACTGATCCTACTCCACTAAAACCCCCCGGTACCCTCCTACGCCCATATGGGGGCGTCTCGGGGCCGACGCACCTGCGTGCGCCACATCTCCGAGCACGCCCCCACTTGAATGGCCCCTAACAAACTGGCTCCATCCATAAAAATTTGACGATTACGATACGATCTCTGTACAAAATTGATTTTCTTTCACTTCTGTAAATCTGAAGGGGAACTGACTACAAACCTAAAAATTATTATTATTTAAAATTATTATTTCTGAATAACAAACTGAAATCGTAAGTGAAAGCGATAGCTACAACAATTCCGCTGGGCGATTGATCCCTGTTATCTTTGAAAGCTGTGTAAAATTCACTGTAGATTATGCATCTTATGAAGGATCAACAAAGTTGCTTGTTTCATTCCTTACTATATATTTTATATACCGATACAAAGAATAAATCTTATGCAATATACCTTAAGATCGAAAATGCTAAGCCCTCGCAAGACGCACAGCGGGGGCAATGTTACGCGAGCTGTCACACGCAGAACTTCAAAATGTACTATCGCGGAATTTAGCGCTCTGTCACTTGGCGAACAAAATGCTTTGAACGGTTTTCTACAGTAGTTTTTACTACGCCCCTCTTCGCGTCGGACGCGCCAATCCGGCCCGCCGCACAAAAGTAAGACAGCATTTCATTGATTGAATAATGAATTGAATTGCATTTGTTTTAGTTGCAAATTGTCATCCGCAACGTGATCGCGACAGCGCTATACGAAAAAGTAAGACAGCGATAATTACATGTCTTCGAATGAATTGTTACTACGCCGCTACCGCAAGCGATTATGCAATTATGGGTGACAGAGCGGGTCTTTCCGCGTATGTACCTTATTTTCATATCCATAGTACCTACAACAGTCTGCTTCAAAAAAGGGTGCTGCTATCTTAGATTAAAACAAAAAGGGAAGATACGGTACAGTCATACTAGCATCAAATAAAATGTGCTCGGACTCAACTCCATAGGTAACTATCACACATGCACACTTATGTAAATAAACATTCAATCGAGCGAGTGAGACAGAACACTTCAATGCAGCGCGAGCGAAACGGCGAGTCCGCGTCGCTTGGCCAGTGGCGGCGCTAGGCGTCGGCGACGTCGGCCACCGCCGACTGAGGGGGGCTCGCAAGAAAGATTTACAAGTTACCTATTTATTTTCGTTTCTCCTGGCCTGGCTTAGGTAGCCGACCGCCGAAAAAGCTAAGCAGATGATAATGACTTATATTATTTTCGAACACGTGCGTGATGGAAGCGAGTTGTACTTTACGGGTATTCAGAATCGTGTCTGGCAACACTATTTTTGTAATTAAATTTATATATTTTTTTAATTTTTTTTTGTCACCATTTGATTATCAACAATAAAACTCGTTTACTCATACGTTATTTTATAATTTGGCTCACTTAATTTAACGGTTTTTACCCGACTGCCAAAGAGGGAGGGTAATGTTGAGGGAGTGTATGTAAGTATGTATGTATGTCTGTTCCTTTGTGACCTCCTGTAGCCTAAACGGCTTGATGGATTTTGATGTATGAGGTATCGTTAGATTTGTCTTGATTACGGGAGTGTCATAGGATACATTTTATCCTAAAAGTCCCACGGGATAAAGACATAATAATATTTTTTCTAAATTTCCCTTTAAAAAAATATGTATGCGGTATCATTAGATTCATTTTTAGACTGTCTTAAGGTACTTAATAATTCCCGCGATATTAATTCCCTTACTGAAGTAACAAGACTACGGTATATACCGTCTTAAAATACTAACTAACTAAAAAGTGTGAAATAAAAAAGGTAAATTTAAAAAATCAAAAAACCCGACTGCTTAATTATACTTCAAATAAAAACTGAAAAGAAAAAAACAAGTCCAGTAGTCTATAATTCTGTTAATAAGGAACAAAGCTACTTTAACAGTCGGGACCCACTGTTGAAAAATATTATGTATTCTTGAATATCTAATGGGTCCCGACTGTTAAAGTAGCTTTGTTCCTTATTAACAGAATTATAGACTACTGGACTTGTTTTTTTCTTTTCAGTTTTTATTTGAAGTATAATTAAGCAGTCGGGTTTTTTGATTTTTTAAATTTACCTTTTTTTTTACTGCGAAGTAAAATAGGCCTCGCGAACTTGATGTCGCCGACGTCCACATGTGGTCTAGCGCCGCCACTGCGCTTGGCAACCGACTGCGTTTACTTTTCCCTCTCTACAAACAGCTGAGCTATATTGTTGTCCTTTTCTTGATAACAAATGGCGAATAAGTAAATAAAATTCATGACAAATCGTGAATAAAAAAAATGTTTTTACAGTTATGATTTTATTTATTTTTTAAGCATTTAACTGCTAGATGTTTAAATCTAAAGAAAAGTTTACTAGAAAAAAATCCACGCGGACCAGGCAGCGGACGGGACTCGAACCCGCATCCTTCGCTATCCGGGCGAATGCACTGACCATTATGCTACCACGGCCCTATTAGTCGCGTCGAAAAAATCGTGGGTTACCTACAATGCAAAGAGATGGCGCTGCCTTGCAGCTTAAAGCTAGAAAAATTTCGACGAGAAATTTAAGAATTGGGGCCATCCATAAATTATGTCACACGTTAAGGGGGAGAGAGGGGGTCGACAAAGTGTGACAAGGGGGTGGGAGGGGTCCTAAATTTCGTGACGTCACATTTCAAAATCTATTACAATCTAAGTGTTGATCCAAGAACTTTTAACTATTACTTTACTGAAACATTAACAACCCAAACGAGAACAAAGTGGCTGCTCTATGCCAGTTATAAATAATTTAAAGGAGTAAGTTCAATGTCCATGGACTCAAGATTTTTTAAGTTTGTATCTTTAATTTAAATATAACGCTATTAATATTTTTTGTTTTGTTAATTTCTTTAATTATCGTAGTTACTGGTTTTTTGTTGGTAATTTTTTAATTAATATAATTAATCGCTGTTTGTTTTGTTGTTTGATTTGATGTTAATGTTATTAAATAATAATTTAAATGGAAATAAAACTGATTACGGAATCGCTGTTCTCATTCAATAATTTCTAAATGTAAATTGCAAAATATGTGACGTCACACTAGGTAGGGGGGGAGGGGAGTCTCACAAATGTGACCAGCTGTAACAAGAACGGGGAAAGGAGCAAAAAATCATTAAATTAATGTGACGTAATTTATGGATGACCCTATTCCTGTAATCCTGCCTCGAAGGGCGCTGGCGTACTGACCGGCGAGTAGTTGAGCACGGGTATATATTGCATTTTACGGGCGACGCGCCACGCCAGAAATCGGTTTTACGTGCGCCAAAAGATGTTTCAGATCAATAAAAAAGAACCGCTGAGATTTTGATTCGATTTATTTGTAACACAAAAATGTACAATATCAATAAATATAGTAGTCACATTAGTTTGCAGTTTACTATCACTCATATTTATTCCTATGATTCACTTTATACAATGTTGTTTTACAACATAATTGCTTATCTATTACTTATTATATTATTACAAATTACGATTCGGATTTTACATTAATTGTGCATTTGTGTATTGGGCCATCCAATGTTCGGCACAAGTCAGTTTGACTTGGAGTAGTGCGAAAATATTATGTTTAATAAAACACTGAAAAATTGTCCTTATTCATTCATTGTAGAACTTAAAATGCATTAGCAACTATAATAACCATTTACGGACCTGAACGAACTCTACTCTTATACTCTAAGCCAGCGATATAAGGTTCAATTTTCCAGTGTCACGAAGAGAAGAAAATTTTCAGTAAGATCAGACTGACAAAACTACAGTATAGAGATATTGGACATAGAATCGTGAAAATACAAAAATTAAGCTCAGCATTTCCTTCGTCATTTCAAGGACGTTATTTTTTGATTTAAAAATTATTTATGTCTGCAATAAAATGAGATACAACCTTTACATTATAAATTGCTTAATTAACACAACTTTTGACTCTGTTCACCTTACTGACCTTATTCATTATAAGTTACTGTAAAATAACAGCTTTGTACATTAGTAATGAATAGACTTGCAACGAATAGTATATTCGGCAGTATACCGAATACCGAATATTCGGCGAGGCCCCTGACCGAATAGCCGAATATTAGGCAAAAGTATTCGGCTGGATTTTAGCGCCAAAAACTTGTACAGACGACGTGATTGTTTCGCGTTCCTTTGTTTTGTTCTAATCTGCCGTCCTCAAGCTAAAATGCGGCTAAATGACAAAAACCAACTTTTGAGATATGGCCAAAAACGGCGCGTAAACTTTAAATTATTGCTATTTTGTAACCATTCATCAGATGACTGAATGCATTAAAAACTGTTAACTTGTTTAATTCAGAAAATGATTAAATTATGTACCTGTTTTATGTACCAATGACTTCTTAATAAGTGATTGTATAACAGAAATGAAAATATGATTATATACGTAATCAATCGATTAAAATTTTTCATTTTACCAATTTTTTCTCTATGACAAAATATATTATTTAAGTATTCGGTATTCGGCCGAATAATATGTAGATATTCGGTATTCGGACGAATATAATAAAAGCAGCCGAATAGGCCGAATACCGAATAGTAACCGAATATTCGTTGCAAGTCTAGTAATGAAGTTATTTCCCTTGTGTTGATATGGAATATGTAAGTATGTATATAAAAAATAAAGTTACAAAAATACTTCAGTTTTAAATCTGCTTAAGCGCATGTTTTGGAAAGTTATCTTTATTATTTGGAGCAAAACTTTAAAGAGAGCCTAATGAGATTGAGAAAATTTGTAGTTCTAAGATAGTTGCTTATAAACCTATATAGTTTTCCTAATGAAAGAGTTAGACGTGATCTACAATATTTTAGTTCTCAATTGTAATAGGGTTGATGACTAATTTTTTTTCTTCGTTTATCAGGTAGATTATCAAAAAGTATTGGACACGTATTTTTTCTTTTTTCACATAATATAAACATTGCAGATATATTGATTTGAAAAGTCGCATGACGTCACGTTTGAGTACACTTTTAAGCGAATATTCACGAAAAAGTGACGTCACGAGCCCCTACTCCGAAACTTTGACGCGCTATAACTTTGTCATTTTTTGGTCGATTGCCCAAAGAAAAAATTTGTGTCCATTATTTTTTGATCATCTAATTGACGGACTAAATAGAATTTCGTTTACTGTACCCCGTCATCACCCCTATTGGCAGCTTTAGCTTTCTAGTTTCACCGCTTTGTTATAATGCTAAAAGAGCTATTTTAGGTATTCTATACCTACTAAAACGCTTAGGCATATAAGAAATCTATTCTGGAGAGACAAGTGATTCTCTACCTTATCTTCAAGAAGATGAATAACTATTATCTGTATACGTAGTAAAACCTTGGTACGAGGAATTAGTTTGATGACTGCAGTTAGTAATTAAATTTACAATAAAAATTTTGAGCATAAAATCAATTTTATATAACAATTATATAAAATAATATCAACATTAGAGAATCTTTTACAATTTTCCGAAAAAATATTTCTAGATAATTTACATATTTTCATAATTGTTTGGTTTATTTAGGTATACACTTTACAAGGTTTTAGTGGATTGGATACATTTCACATATCGCACATTGATAAGAGTGACACTAACCAAAAAAGGTATTTTTTCAGTAGAAGCATTTAATGTTTTACCAAACAGTAATTACGACTTTTGCACCAGAAAGAATAAAAAAAATTGTGTGTGTCAGCTCCGACGCACGACCAGAGTTTACACTCTAAAAACGATTGTCTTTGAACAGACACAAAACAAAATCAAGTCCCAAGAAGTCGGTTACAAGTAGAGATACCTCAGGAATCGTCCCATGGTTTCGACTATCATAGGTTCTATGTCACACATTTTATCATCTAACATCAGCGATATTCATCATATATTTTATTATGTATTTCTGGAAACACACAATTTCAAAAATATCACACACAGTCATCATTTTGTAAATATGTATTATAATTCCATCTGTACTGAAAATCACTATTCCAGAGTGCTGGACACTTACCGGCATTTCTCTAAATTCTGTTATTTATTTGTTTTCATTAATTTTGCTCCGATTTTTATCTATTTTTAGTTTATTTATTTTATTGACATTTGTGACAACTTAATGCTTTTTATCCGTTGCCATGGCTAAAAGTGAAAGGTGCGCAGATGAGGTTGCGCACAAAAACGTAACGAGGTCATTAATGTCATTCATCGATAGATTTTACTCCTCACATTTTTCTCATACCGGGCCCCTTATCTTATCTTTCTTAAGGAGTAAACTCCAAAAATCAATATGTTATGATTTCTATTGCACAGAGCATTAAACACGATCGCAAAAGTCGTAAAAAATAGCTTTTTTGGTTAGTGTCACTCTTCTTATCAATGTGCGATATTTAGGTGCTAGGAGCGGCATTCCTGTGGTAAAGACTGTGACACGTGAACTGAAATCTCCTTATTAGAAAACGTTGACTAAAGTTAAATTCGGTCTAAAAATATACTGTCCTTTTTATTCGCTAAAAAAAAGGCAGAGACAGCATTAGATTTTAACGATGTCACATGTTTTTTTAATAAGGGAGAAAAAATCCATTTTAGTCATCTTTTCGTCATATATTTAACCCATAAATAGTAGATTCAAGAAATTTTAGGAGAAAAATTCTATAGAAGCTTTTACACAGCAGAACATCTTCATGTGCCTATGTTGCGTTCTAGCTACTCAATACGAAATAGTAAGAGTTTCATGTCAATTATTCTAGCTACGGTTCTCTAAAAATACATTGTTAATCTCATTAGTATAACAAAACGCTTAAAGTAAGGTAATTCGAATCGTTTTGTACAATCTCGTAGCGGTTTGACGCTTTTGTAATTGTAATTTAAGTCGATTTGATCAAGTTGTAGCAATGTCATAATCATTAAAATTTCAACTTTATGCTGAACACGTAAAGATTTTCGGAGTTTTGATTCTAGATTCGCTTGCAGTCATAAAGACTGCAAGGTAGCCGTTTCCTAAATTGCACACCCATTACTGCAAGAAACTTTTTTTTTTATTGTAATTAGTTATTTTTATAGACGACTGACAATATCCGAATACAGCCTAAAGTTGTCAACATAACTATAACTTGACTGTACAAATATTTCAAATCGATATAACAATTTCCAAACTCTTAAATCTTTTAAAATTGCTAAATAGTTAATTTGCTATTAAAATGTTCGAGAAACTCAGAATATTCTTATTTTGTTTGTATTTATTTTTATTAAATTTTATTGTTGTAATAAAATTTTGTCGTTGAGTTTCAAAACTAATGTACTAGCACCCAATGCAAAGACATCGCTCTGCTTATTCCTTTCTTTTAGTAAAATGATCATTACTGATGATATTAGATCGATAAACTTATAACAAGTTACCTTCAGAAATAAATTATTCAAATCAAATAACCAACTGTATTATAACCGAATAGGGTATGTTTTTCAACACATTTTCAGAATATATCGTGTTAAATGTATACTGGCTCAAAAAAGATTAGATTGAACATATTAAGCGTAAACAAAGGCAGTGCTCTATGGTAAAATAAATAAGTGTGATTCTGAAAACTCTATGATTCTCTCTTACAAAATAAAAAAAAGTCATAACAAAACAAATCAACAGATAAAAATTTCGATTGTCGCTTAAAACTAATAAACAAGTATATAAATAAAAATCACCACTGTGGAGGATTTTCAAAGAGAAATGCCAAAGATTTAATATCTAAAATAATTACATGTCTTTTAGTTCGTAAGTGACGCTGTGAAAGACAAACGAACATAAGATTACTTTGATTACCGACATCTTCTGTTGGTGTTTGTCACAACAATTATAAAATTTATTTAAGTATATTTCTTTAACACAAAAGTTAAGTAATAATTAGCCTTGCTTATAGAAATAACAAATAATTATTTGACTGGTATTTAAAGATGTTTGTTTAGCTTTAATACAAAAATGTTAGCAACACATGGGTACAAGACGCGCTATATTTTTTAACTATTAATTAGTTATCAAATCATAGTGATTCTTTTTTTAATCTATTAGTTATTTTTTATAAGTAAGGCGATTAATTGATTAAAAATTTTGCCGATCTTACATTACAGATGAGTCACAGAATTAATCTCAAATAGTACCATGAATCGGTATAATTTATTAATTATATATTATAACCTACAAAATAGTATAAAAAATACAATATATACTGAGGTTTAGTAAAAGGAACTTCAAAATAGCGATCATAAAGAATATTTTCCAAAATAAACACTTTGCATCTGATACTAAACTTAACTGCATTGAAAATAAGATCGAAAACTGACAAAAAATACTGTAACATTGCTGTTTCGTGTTCACATACTTAAATGATTGCAAAACTCGAATAATTATTTTAATTCTACATTGTAAATTAAGCTTCAATCAGTTGCTAACTAAAACATCGCCAATATTTCTTATTTCGAGAACTTGCGTTTAATTTTTGCCTTTCTCTTAGTACATAGTTCATTCGCCACTTGCTAATAAAGATTCTGATAGCCTATATGGTACTTCTAAGTCAGATAACCCATAGATTTTGGTTACACAGTTACTGAACATCAATAAGATTTAGTTCCTGATATAAGCAAATTTTATTCTGTTTTTAACTTCACGACTACGTGTCAGTGTTACCAGTAACAGTTACTTATCATGTCACTTGCACCTAGGGTTACCATTTAGTAATTTCAAAAGCCCTGACAAAAATCCTGACATTTCCAAAAAAGTCCCGACTTTTTAGTTATAAAATGTTACTATTACTCACTTTGTTACAATGGTATGATATTTTAATTCGATTTTATTATTCATATTGAATGTAATAAAGGGATGGTGACTAATTTTTTTTTCTTCGTTTATCAGGTAGTTTATCAAAAAATATTGGACACGTATTTTTCTTTTTTCACATAATATAAACATTGCAGAGATATATTGATTTGAAATGTTGCATGACGTCACATTTGAGTACACTTATAAGTGAAAATTCACTCAAAAGTGACGTCACGAGCCCCTACTCCCAAACTGACGCGCTATAACTTTGTCATTTTTTGGTTGATTGCCCAAAGAAAAAATACGTGTCCATTATTTTTTGATCATCTAACTGACGGACTAAATAGAATTTCGTTTACTGTACCCTGTCATCACCCCTATTTAAAGATCCAGACAAAGTCCGGACTATAGTCTAAAAGTCCCGGCTAATCCGGACGGATGGTAACCCTACTTGCACCAGTACCGAAATACCAGGGACTTACAAATATCAAAACACTTGTACATCTTAGCATTTTTATGCTAATCAGCAGTGGCGCCGCTAGGTGTCGGCGACGTCGGCCTCGCGCATGAGGGGGCCTCGCAAAAATATTTTACAAGTTACCTATTTATTTTCGTTTCTCCTGGCCTGCCGACCCCGAACAATTCGGGGAAAAAGCTAAGCAGATGATAATAACTTTTATTATTTTCGAACACGTGCGTAATGGAAGCGAGTACTACTTTACGGGTATTCAGAATCGTCTGTCTGGCAACACTATTTTTGTAATTAAATTTCTACTTGTAATAATTTTTTGTCATCATTTGATTATCAACAATAAAACTCGTTTACTCATACGTTATTTTATAATTTGGCTCACTTAATTTAACGGTTTTTTACTGCGATTTAAAATAGGCCCCGCGAACTTGATGTCGCCGACGTCCACATGTGGTCTAGCGCCGCCACTGCTAATCAGCAACTTGTATCGGAAACTTTATAAGGAACTGGCCACAAGTTTCTCGATACAAAACTATATTGAACGCAATAAGCTCTAATTTTGCGTGTTACCAGGTCTATTTCTACAGAGAAGTTGAAAGAACGAGAACCGAGGCAGAGAGATACCAAACTTGGTCTCGAGGCCTGTAGATAGTTAGTTTCATATGGCAGATAACTATCACTAATTTTATCAGTAACTCAAATTGTCGTTTTAAACTTAAGAGTGAACGCAATACGGTCGATATTCCTCACGTTATCTGGTATTTTTTACTGCGATGCTGGCTTGACGAACGAGAAACGAGGCAGAGAGATACCAAACTAGGTCTCGAGGCCTGTAGATAGTTAGTTTTATATGGTAGATAACTATCACAAAATTTATCAGTTCCTCAAATTGACGATTAAAACTTTAGACTTAACGCAATACGGTCGATATTCCTTACGTTATCTGGTATTTTTTACTGTGACGCTGGCTTGACGAACGAGAAACGGGACAGAGAGATACCAAACTAGGTCTCGAGGCCTGTAGATAGTTAGTTTTATATGGCAGATAACTATCACAAATTTTATCAGCCACTCAAATTGTCGTTTTAAACTTTAGAGTGAATGCAATACGGTCGATATTCCTTACGTTATCTGGTATTTTTTTTACTGTGACGCTGGCTTGACGAACGAGATTAGTTTAATATGACATAACTATCACAAATTCTATCAGTCACTCAAATTGTCGATTAAACCTTTAGAGTGAACGCAATACGGTCGATATTCCTTACGTTATCTGGTATTTTTTACTGCGACGCTGGCTTGACGAACGAGAAACGAGACAGAGATACCAAACTAGGTCTCGAGGCCTGTAGATAGTTTTATATGACAGATAACTATTAGAAACTTTATCAGGAACGCAATACGGTCGGCATTTCTCATTTTACCTGGTTTGTTTTTACTGAGACGACTGTCAGAAACTTTATCAGCAACTCAAATTGTCGATTTAAACTTTAGAGTGAACGCAATACGGTCTATATTTCCTATTGCTACGCTAATTCTCGATATAAATCTTTAGTGTGAACGCAATACGGTCGATATTTCTTACATTACCTGGTGTTTTTCTACTGCGGCGCTGGTTTGACGAACGAGAAACGAGGCAGAGAGATACCGAATTTGGTCTCTAAGCCAGTAAGCACTGGGATGGCAACTTCGTATCCGCCGATGTGCTGAGGTTTTTTGCGAGACTCTTCTATGGGGGTCGAAACGTGCAATTCTGAGCCACTTGGTCGACTGTAGACAAGCGATATTGTACGTTATTAATATCGGCATAAGGGATATAATTAAACGGATAATCGGATAGATATTTACGTACAGTCGAGATGTTAGCTATTATGGAAAGCACTTAAGATCACTCAGATCTTATTGATATAATGAATTCGAATAGTTTGCGAGTGCGAAGTGTCATTGTCAAATTATGTATGGAAACTTGAACAGAAGCGCCACAAAGGACGTAACGAGAACTTAAAATCAGTACAAATTTTGACAGTTACATTTCGGACTCGCAAACTATTCGAATTCGATAATGGTTCGTGCTAAGGGTACTGAGGAGTTCTAGCCAGAGTGGATAGAACTCAGGGGCGTAGGAATTTATTGAAACAACTTGACGATGGTTATTATTTTATATTAGATTTCAGGCGAATACACATTTTTTAATCTAAGCTACGCAAGGGTTGGTGCCTGAAGATCGTCTCTTGTATGGAACCTTCTATCAAAAGATAGACGATTCCTTATTTCAAATCTTAAAATCATGACATTAACTTTTTAATATAACTGCCAACCGTAGGCATGGTAGGCTTGTTGAAAATATATCGATGTATCGATATATCGATATTTTTTGTTCGATATATCGATATTTTTTTCAACTTTCGACATCCCTAAGGCATGGCAAGAGCAAAGAGTTTACCTAAACAAGGAGGCCGTAACGTAACGGACGTTACAGTACTGAATTCGATCCGTTTGACTAATTGCCAGATTAGATGCCAATGAGCGAGATGCCACTACTTATATCGTGGAAGGGGAATTTTCCCGATTCATAGTAGTTACATCTTCCATAGTACAAGCTATACTTAGGCACTAAGGCCCGTATTACAGAATGACAACTAAGTGTTGAGCTTGAGTACAGTTAGAAAGGGTTATCGCTATGTGCTATATATATAGCGACATCCCTTTCTAACTATGCTCAAGAATAGATCAATCACTGAGAATCTTTCTATAATACGGGCCTAAATCATTATTTTCAGATCTCTGAAAGGGTTTGACGTTTTGAGTCCACTTTTTGAAATGACTGCCTCTGCATACGACCATTTCTGATTTCGACCACTTCTGCTTAAGACTACCTCATAATTTGACTGTTCTGGATTCAACCATTTCGTTTTTTTGTCAAAAGGATAATATATATATATATATATATATATATATATATATATATATATATATATATATATATATATATATATATATATATAAAACTTTATTTTAACATTTTATGGGCCATGACACACCACGCGGGCCCAGTGCGGATTGGTGGGTGCTAACGACTGCAGATTCAGCCGGGACCAATGGCATAACGTGCCTTCCGAAGCACGGAGGAGCTCGAGATAGTAAATTTTTGGTCACCCATCCTATGACCGACCACTGCGAAAGTTGCTTAACTTCAACGATCGCAGCCGAACGCGCTAACCACCTGCGCCAGCGAGCTCCTCGTTACTATTGTCATGATAATTATTATATAACAAGTATTAGAGTTGTTTTTATTTTATGGGTTACTTCTTGTCGAGTTATGCAACGTTCACATGAAGACAAAAAAAAAATTTTTTTTCTTCACACCGTAAATGCGTGCGCTGCATTAAGCGGGCGTCCGCTCCCTTTACGTGGCGAAGGCTCTTGTAAAGGTAGTCAAATAAGGAAGAGGCCAAAACCATAAATGGTCAGTAAAAGAACTAGGCCATACAAGAAGTGATCGAATGCAGAAGAGTTCAAAACTAGAAAAACACAAATGAAAAACTGGGAGCCTACTCTTATTCTCTGAAACGAACTTTCGATAAAAAAGTTCAAACGAAATTTAATTTCGTCAATTTAAGATAACTAGCAAACCAGTGAACCAAATGTTCACCAAAACCTGATTTCTCGAAAACCGGAAGTGCTACGTTACTCAAATCCGGTTTGTAGTCTTATCAGACTATTCTTAACTTATAACTTAAATATTCTCTTTATCTATCTCTTACGATTTGGCGTACGTACGTTACGACGGACGGACTTGTCTAATAGATATTTGAAAGATAAATATTATCTATCAAATGGAAGCTGTCTTTAGAGTAGGGTTAGAAAATCTACACTTCAATCAATATTCCGACGGCGAATATTATTATAATTAAAAACGAACCAGTACCCTTAGTACGAGTTTTAAAATTACGAAAACTATGATAGTTTTCGTGAGCTCGCACTCGTACAAAGGGTACTGATTTTATTGTTTTCGTTTCAATACAAATAAACAGTGTTTAAAGTCTATCTCTAAATCATTTGCGTCGTCTTTTTTACTTACTTTTCACCAAAATGGACATAAAACATAATTTACAATTACGAAAACTATGATAGTTTTCGTGAGCTCAAACTCGTACTAAGGGTACTGATTTTATTGTTTTCGTTTCAATACAAATAAACAGTGTTTAAATTCTATCATTGAATCATTTGCGTCTTCTTTTTTACTTACTTTTCACCAAAATGGACATAAAACATAATTTACAATTACGAAAAAAAAATGATAGTTTTCGTGAGCTCAAACTCGTACTAAGGGTACAGAAACATAATAGGAAAAGTGCAGTTTCGATCGAAATTTCGTTTTTCGTTGTAGTGAGTAGGCCTCCTGGTCCTTCGACATCAAACTTTTCTATAGTGCGATTCAACTAAGAATAGGACCGACTGGGCGCCATATTTTGATGTCATAGCTGTCAATTCAAACCAAATAGGTAGAGTGAGCAAAAATATGTTTCTATTTAATAAAACTTATTTTCTCAAATTAAGTGAGACTAAACATCAGGGTTTTTAATAAAATTAATTTACTAAGGTTGAGAAAGAACACAACCGATTTTTAATAGTATTTCTTTATTAAGACTGTGTGAAAAAAAATATTAATCACAATCTAGCCCTTCAATTTCGCTCATCTCTGCATTACCGCCGGAGGAGTTATGAATAATCATGCAGGTCACATACGAACATTTCAACTTTCGTTTACATGTAGGATATGTAAACGAAAGTTTTAAATCGAGTTTTTGAACGCAACATAAAGTGACATTTGGTTGACGATTTAGGTTATCAACCATTCATAGCTAAAAGCTCAATAAATGAAAAAAAACAACTAATATTTATTATCAACATTTGTTATTGTTTGTTTAAAAATTTTTGGTTTTTATTCTAGAATCAGTTGAGTGCTAAAAAAGTGTTCCGAGTTTTTTTTGCAAACCGTACTTTTTAAGCGACATTTGACAGATGGAGGTCATTGGCTTTCCTATTCCTATTTGAAACGCATTATAAAATGTAAAGAAAGTGATACATACGATCCTCCGAAGTCGACGTAGAACAAACGCTGGAGAATTTCATATGTGACTAGAGTTACACCGAACTGTGGTGAAGAACGGAACACTCGGGCTGTAAGAAAAGCAAATGTTGAAAGCTTCTATTGGCAACTTTTTTTGTTAGCGTTTGGAAATAATTAAGTTAAAGTAGAATTTTATATTAATAAAATTAGTCGTGAATGCGTGAAAATAAGAGGTTAGTTATTTATGAGTAAAGATTTTATACTTTGTTTGGATATTTTAATTGAAATAATCAATAAATAGTGTACTTTACAACATTTATAATTTTCAAGGTAGTTATTTTACTTATATTATCTAGGGGTCATCCATAAACTACGTCACACGAATTTCATGATTTTTTGCCCCTCCGCCCGTCCTTGTCACAGCTGGTCACATTTATGAGACTCCCCCCCTCCCTAGTGTGACGTCACATATGTTACAAAATTTAGAAATTATTGAATGTAAACAGCAGATCTGAAATTAGTTTTATTTTCATTCAAATTTGTTTTTTAATAATATTAACATCAAATCCAACAATTTAACAAAACAAATATGAATAGTATTATGATTACATTAAAGATACAAACTTAATAATCTTGAGTCCATAGACATTGAGCCCGCTTCTTTAAATTATTTATAACAGGCATAGCACCACTTTGTTCTCGTTTGGGTTGTTTATGTTTTCGTAAAGTTATAGTTTCAACATTTCGATTATAATAGATTTTTAAATGTGACGTCACGAAATTTAGGACCCCTTCCAGCCCCTTGTCACACAATGTCACACTTCATCGACCCCCTCCCTCCCCCTTAACGTGTGACGTAATTTATGGATGGCCCCCTAGTGTATTAAACAGTTTTATTTTCATTCCATTTGCTTTTTATTACTATAATAGAGGTCGCCCGCGACTTCGTCTGCGTTAACTTAGTTTCTTGAAAATCCCTCTGGAACCTAACATTTTTTCGGGATAAAAGTAGACTATGTGTTAATCTAGGGTGTCAGCTAACTCCATACCAAATTTTATTAAAATCGCTCCAGCCATTTAGACGTGAAGAAGTAACAAACATACACACTCACATACTCACAAACTTTCGCCTTTATAATATTAGTGTGATGTGATATAAGTTTCAAAGTGTTTATAAAATTAATAGGTAATGTAATATTTCTAACACACATAATGTTTTTTTTTTTCATACAAACGTTCTCGACTGATTCCTTCTAGATTTTTATAAGTACAGAATTGAAATTTCATACATTAAATAAAATTTAACTCATTCTATGCTCCTATATTTTCCTTTTTTCGATAACTTGTGTTTCAAAGAAACTAGAAGCCCTCGACAAAGGCAAAACATAAACAATTTTTACCAACACTAAAGACGTCTACAGTGGAGATTTATTAAGCATTTACAAAAAAAAATCTTAATATAAAATTTATTTTAGAGTCAGTGCGGAAAGAGAATGGCCGTGGCGGAAAACGGAACTAACATTAAGATTTTTATTTGGCAATCAAACCCAGCAATCTGTAGTTTTGTATTGATACGGATTTGTTTGTTGTTGTGATTTCTTGCGGTTTTTTTGTATTTAATCACGTCTAAAAGGGGTAAACCTTACAAATACGGTAGAAAAGCACTACAGCGCCCTCCAATCTAAATCCCATTCTCTTTCCGCACAGACTCTACATATATCTAATTTTCGAGGAGGAAATCTTCGAGAGCCAATCCTCGAGTATTGCAATTTTTATACGCAATTTTCAGCGTTAACTACTGTTGTCCCTATCACACGGTATTTGCCAATGCGTGACAGCAATAGTTTTTTCATATACCTATTTTGCAAATGTCTCTCAGCTCGCGTGCGCTCTTAACGACCGTTGTTTTGCCGACAGTGGGCCGGTGCTTAATAATAGGGTATTTTCCAAAATTTTGAAAATAGGGTAGTATAAATAGCGTAGGGTAGTGTAATATAATGTATTTAATATATATGTCTTGCTAGTGTGTGACGTCACCCGACTGTTATTAAAACGTCAAACGATACAATGTAATGTCACTTTAACCGGAAGTCTACTTGCGTGTGACGTAGTTTTAAGCTCCGCCAATCCCAAGCGTTTTGGGTCACGTGACAATAGATAAGAGAACTATTATCTTATTCGTGGGTTTTAGTAAAATTATGATTTTTTTTGTAAAAATAGTAAAAACCCCTGCCAATATTCATTCTAAACACAGATGCTAACAATTGGCTATTTATTTTTAATACTGCCAAATAACCTATTGCTTATATTTAAAGATTGGGACGAACGATTTAACAGAAAAATAAAAATAAACTAATTAATGTCTTTTTTTCTCCATTAAACCACTCCATAATCACAGATCGTCCACAGAGTAGATAGGTGTTTAAATTCTTCACACAAAGTTGACGTCACACAGTAGACGTCATCGAGCCGAGCGTTTTGGCGGTAAATTTAAAAACCATTAAAAATAAATTCAACTTTAATTGGTGTAATGGAGAAAAAACAGACATTAATTAATTTATTTTTATTTTTCTATTAAATCGTTTGTCCCAATCTTTAAATATATGCAGTTTTAAAAAAATTGGAAAATACCCTATTGTCCTTCTTATCAATGCGTTACGAAGACAAGTATAGTAGGGTGATGACTAATTTAATTTTCTTCGTTTATCAGGTAGATTATCAAAAAGTATTGGACACGGTTTTTTTTCTTTCAGCACATAATATAAACATTGCAGATATATTGATTTGAAAAATCGCATGACGTCACATCTTGGTACAATTTTCACTTAAAAGTGACGTCACGAGCCCCCACTCCCAAACTTTGACGCGCTATAAGTTTGCCATTTTTTGGTTGATTGCCCAAAGAAAAAATACGTGTCCATTATTTTTTGATCATCTAACTGACGGACTAAATAGAATTTCGTTTACTGTACCCCGTCATCACCGCTATTGCATTTGTCATTTTGAGAGCTAGTCAATTTGAGATGTGGTCAAATAAAGATGTAGTTATTTTACAACAGAACAACTTACCTACGGCACCTTTCCAGAACGCTCTGAATCCTTCTTCAGCATAAATTTTCCTAGCAGCGTCTATTACGCCGTTATACGTTGTTTGACCAGTTCTCGCAACAACCTGTTTACGTAATTAAGAGAATTTATTAATCTATATAATTATATAAAACTCAAAGGTGACTGGCTGACATAGTGATCTATCAACGCACAGCCCAAACCACTGGAAAATCGGGCTGAAATTTGGCATACAGGTAGATGTTATGACGTAGGCATCCGCTAAGAAAGGATTTTGGTCTACCTCCAAGGGGATAAAATAGGGAATGAAAGTTTGTATGAAACTTTGTCAATTTTAAACCGATCGGGCTGAGGCTTTGCATGCAGGTATGAGAAGAATCAGAGATGAATGTCATTGTGTATAATACAAGCCTGAGAACAAAAATTGTAGTCTAAACTTCAGCTCTACACCGAAGGGAAGCGAGGGCGGGCCGCTAGTGAAATATATTTTTTTTATTTTTAAGCATTTAACTGATACATAGATGTTTAAATCTAAAGAAAATTTTACTAGAAAAAAAAAATCACGCGGACAAGGCAGCAGACGGGATTCGAACCCGCGCTCTCCGCTATCCGGGCGGATTTACTGACGATTATGCTACCACGGTCGTAATGACCGTGTCGAATTCTTTCTAGTATTTCTCAGGCTGCAAGGCAGCGTCTTCTCTTCGCATTGTAGGCAACCCACAATGTCAAACGAATACGTTTACAAGAAAACATTTAAAAGAAGAAATAGCAATTTAAGTTATAATTTTATTTTTTAAACATTTAACTGGTACATGTTTACATCTAAAGAAATTTTTGCTAGAAAAATATGTGGCACTGCCTTGTAGCCTGATAAATACTAGAAAGAAATCGACACGGACATTAGGGCAGCGGTTGCATAATGGTTCGAGTCCCGTCTGCTGCCTTGTCCACTTAGAATGTTTTCTAGGAAAATTTCATTTATATTCATGAATTATTACGTTACGCACGTTAAGCCGTTGGTCAAGGCTGCATCTGCAGTCGTTGTCAACCACCAATCCGCACTGGGCCCGCGTGGTGGGTCACGGCCCAATCTCCCTATTCCATCCATGCTTAATTGTTGTAATAAATCTGCTTACGTAACCAACGATATTAAATATCCTAGATACACCAACATGAACAAAATCGTGCCCGAAATCAGTCCAAAAGGTACATTGGATGATCCACGGAGCTCCGTAAGATGATCGCGTTGTCAAAAATAATATAAGTCATAATTTAAATATTGAAAGTCACCTTTAATGCATGCTGGGTCTTAATTAAAACGCATGTGTCAAAGAGTTATGACAGTTTGAAATGCAAGCTCGTAAAATTTTACGACTTATTGCTGTATGCGGAAGAATATAGACCTTATTTCTTTGACTCTACGTGCAATTCTGAATGCGCTGTTAGCAATATAGGTACGGACAGTGAGGAAAGTGATGTCTATATAACCGACCATGCCTTTGAATATCACAAATATTTTCTAATAAAACATGTTTATAGTAAATGTAAGAATAAAATTTGCTTCAAACGCGTTAAATTAACTAATATTGATTAGGTACCTGTCGAAAAAACGACTCTACATACTAAAAGTATTTTTTTCGCATTTTTTCACGGAGCTCTGCGGCAACTTGACAACGGGCCGCGCGTGACTGTGAACCAAGAAGTGCTTGAGTTCGTTCAAGCACATCTTGATTGGGACACATTTTGAGCGCACGTGGTTTATCTAGGGTAACGGCCCCTAATGATGGTGAATCATCATCATCAGCCTATTAATGTCCCCACTGCTGGGGCACAGGCCTTCCCTATGGATGAAATAGGGAGATTGGGCTATGACCCACCACGCAGGCCCAGTGCGGATTGGTGGGTGCTAACGACTGCAGATGCAGCCGGACCAACGGCTTAACGTGCCTTCCGAAGCACAGAGGAACTCGAGATAGTAAATTTTTGGTCACCCATCCAATGACCGACCACTGCGAAAGTTGCTTAACTTCAACGATCGTAGCCGAACGCGCTAACCACTTGCGCCATCGAGCTCCTCATCTCCTCATCGAGGATGGTGAATAGTAAATGTTTACCTGCAGGCGAGTCTTGATGACGTCAGCGGGCGTTACGAGAGAAGCAGCGGGAATGCCAGCGATGGCACCGGCTGCTAGAAGAGTCATCGGGTGATTGTAGCCGTTGTCGTCAGCAAATTTTGCCTAAACGCATACAAATAATTACATTATTACGTGTCGGTCTAGAGGTAGCACAAGTTTTGAAGTGGAACTTTTTTACGCATGTTTGACTTGGGGGGTATGCTGGCGAATGCGTTACGCGTTACGAAAAGTGTGTTCGAGCGAGGCGACCGGGAGTTGAGTGGGGGATATAAGCAAGAGATAGTAGTACGCGCGCACATTTTCTTATCTTATAGCTAGTAAATGAAATATGTATATGTATATACATGTATATATTGTACACACACACACATATATATATACATACAGATGGAGCTAAAGTTTCACTTCAGTCGTGTGGTCATAAGCACACTCGTTTTATGCATAAATTTTAATACAATTTCTGATTTATTTATTTAAGAGTTTTTAGAACTTTTCTTTTAAACGTAGTATCGCAAAAATGCCGATACAAGGGGGACCGTTTGACTGCATTTGTACGACATTTTGCCAATGAGAATAACCTACATGGGGTACGACAATGTGATGCAATAGAAACTCTGTAAGATATTCTATCTATCAGTGGCATGCCGTACAAGTTGTACATAACTTGGCGGCTGTCATAACACTTTCATCCTTACACCGCACTGCTAAGGCTTATATTCGAGTGCACCGCAACACTCGGGTCTAACAAGGGCTAAATACCAAATGAGGTACACTGGGCTGCGACCACGACAACGGCTAACTAGAGCCGAAGTTCGAGTCTCAGAGACGCCCTCTAGTTGAGCCGACTCCCTCAGGTGCTCCTGGTCTAAAGGCTCCAGACTGAGAGGAGACTCCCCCCGTGGGGAGATGCCATCCGCCTGGAATACCTCTAGAGGCACTCGCCAATTCTCGGCTTGAGGTCCCCTTAGGATCTCGCCGTCCCCAAACCCGGTGACGCTGTAAAGGTCATCTGCGACCAACAGCATACACCACCAAAAAAACCGGGCTGCGGCGTTCTGGTTAAGTCTGTTCCCAGATTGTTCGTGACAATATTAATACTCATGGGCATAAAGGATGGAGTGGGTGTTCCTAACCTGAATTAAACAACTGTCAAGTAAAAAGCTATGCACTAAGTTTATCACCCTGTTTTTTTTTCATTTATTGGGAATAGTTAACAACTAAACAATATGTAAAATAGTATTACTGTTAATTTCAATAACAAACATGCAGTCAAATACACTATCCACAGCTTTCACAATAAGTTAACTATTTACAGTGAGATGCTAAGCAACAAATGATTAACTAGGCACATATAATAACCATTCAAATGTAAATGGGTCCTATTCTATGGCACTAAACTGTAAAAGTAAATAGTGGTGCAAAATTTGATTTTAACAAGCAGTCATAACTAATAACACTAAAACAGTTCACTAATTAAAGCTCAAAATTAGTTTTAGTTTTTACTTTTTATATAGTTTTCAAGTATTTCATCCTTCTTCATCCATCATCCTTTCGCTTTTAGAATTTAGTGGACCATGTTGTCCTGAAGCTTGTTTTTGGAGAACCAACATTTTTCTAGATTAATAAGTATCTTATTACTCAATCCAAGTAATAATCTTTTTATTAAATTCTATTAATAATTCATCATGGAAAACATTTTTTTTTTGTGAGTGTTCATATTAATCTAAAAAACGGTTATCGTATAATTGAGTCACATCCAAATATGTCAACAGACATCCAAAGGAGATTGCTCAGCTTCCATACATGTTTGGCCTAAAGACCAATAATCATGAAAAATTGTTTCCTAGATTCGAAATTATATATAAATTACTGTAGAAACGAATATTATTGACGAACACCCCTGAGAACTTCTATAAACCATATACACTGAACATATTAAAATAATAAAAAAACAAATAAGTTATATAGTAAACTATGGAAATCAAGCCAAGTACCGAAATTATGGATTAGATTCAGGTATATAGAGCATGTACATTAACAGATAGTTGCCTATTTTTAAAGTTAATGCATAAGAGTAACTTTTAAAATCAGGTGTCATTTCCGGTTATAATAAAGTACTCTGTGACAGAAACTGTGTGATGATTGTGAATGAGCCACAGATTAGAGAGAATTTTTAAACTCTCGTTAACCAAAGAAAGCTAAGAGATTTAGGTTCTATAGCCATATATTCAGTAGCTTCATTATTTTTGTTATGTTTTTAAGATAACCATATTTAAGATTTTTAGTGTATCACACCTTATAATTTTATTTATTTATTAATTTATAGTGAGGGAACGTAGGTCCATAGATAGATACCTTAAAGTCTAACATATAAACAGATTATAATGTGTTTATGGAGGTGTTTGGCGAAAAATGTATGGCAATAGACTTTATGATGTCGCCTATCATCTATAATAATTGTCTGAGCACATTTGCATCTAGTGAAAATTATAATATAGTAAAGGATATTAATACCACAGTGTAATAAAAAAAAAAAATTATTTTTTCGATCTTTACAAAATAGATTTGTTTTTATGGTATATAAACAACTTCGATCAGTCTTTGGCTGAATGTTACTACACCCATAGCCATTAAAAATGATTCGTATGTTTTCCAAACCGGTAAAATTAAAAGTCCTTTTTAAAGTAAATATATTATACAAAGGTGTCCGTTGAAATCTAATGACTGTAAATTAAATTATAAATTACGCCAAGAATTACCGTGTATGTCAATATTTTTTGTGCATTTAGGCCAATTTGAGCAATCTCCTTTGAAACCATACAAACTTTCACATTTAAAATATTAAACAGGATAACTTATACATAATAAATCAACACAATTATTTTTTAACTTAGTATTTTATTACCTTAACATGCGCATACGCCGGGAAGTAAATAGCGCTAAAAGGCACGTCCCGAAGCAGGCAGGCCTTCGCCCCCTTATAAAGGCCGAAGAGCCCTAGATCCTTGACAACGGACCAGGCGCGGACTTTCTGCCCGCTAGCGATTTCACCGGCCACTTGGAGACGGATCTTCACGATTTCCAGGGGATTGGTGAATACTACTTGAGAACCACCCGCCTAAAAGTAAATAATACTATTGCAATACAATATAATAATAATAAAAATGCTGGAATACGGTTAAGGTTTTAAATTTTAAACTGAATCGAAAAAACACCCTTTGCTTTCCGGGCGAATGCATTGACCATTATACTATTGTGACACTTGTATTCCAGATTTGATCCAGATTTTAGACTGAATCGAATGTTGGAAACCTTTGCTGACAAAATGAATGCACTGACCATAATATTATAATAAAATTTCCAGCACTCACACCAATTAGACTAGCGCCAAAGTAAGCACTGTAGGCTTGTGTTATATGATACTAGGGTAACGGATAGAACACATATATTGATACATATATAACTATATTTATATAGAAATACATATTAAACATCAATGACTGGAGTACAAATGCTCGTAGTCATCACACAAAGATCTGCCCCCACCCGGATTCGAACCTCTCGAGTTGGCGACTCCTGGAAACCCGGCGTACAAACCCCTCGGCCATGGAGGTTATCGTCGGAGGTTTTGAGATAATATGACGAATTCCTTTTAGAATTTCAAATATATATATCTACTTGATGAGATATTCAAAAAGAAATTCTACACATCCCTTGCGGTCACGGTAGCATATTGGTTAGTGCATTGGGTAGCAAACGGTGTAGAATCGACTATAGACAAATATCTGGATGGAGTTATTTTTTTTTCTAATAAATAAAATTTCGTTTAGTATTAGAGTCTAGTAACAAAATGCTGAAATAAAATTATAAATAAACAAATATGTTCTGGAATGATAACTTAACTCAAAAGCACAATTTGACTGTAGTCTGTCTTGTTCATTTTGTATAGAGAATGATTAACGACATTCTGTTGAATAGAACAAGTTTCAATTATTTTTTTAATTAATTATTATAGATCATAATTTTATTTTTATATTGATTGAATGCAAATTATAATTTTAACTTATGAAATTAATTTTAATTGAATATTATTATTTACTTGAATTTTTGACATTGTAAAAGAATTTTAATTAACTATTGACATTGTACGTCCGAAATGGGCAGACTGTTTGAAACTGTATTTTAATACATAGTGTTACCACCTTACTGTACCCAGTTTAAACAATGAATAAATGAATCTGAATCTGAATCAACGGTATAGATGCACTGATTTATTTATTTATGTTTCGCATCTTTTTCTGGCTGTGTCGCCAGAATTATGATTTTATTTACTTTGTAAAAGTCTTTCGAAGGTAGCTATACAAAGTAAAAAAATCATAATACTGACGACGTAGCCTAAAAAGGATGCGAAACTTAATATATCTTTATATATATAATTCTTCTGTGAGTGTGTATGTCACTGAACTTCTCTTAAACGACTGGACCGATTTTGATGAAATTTTTTGTGTGTGTTCAAGGGGATCTGAGAATGGTTTAGATTCACAATTTTGTCCGCTGGACAACCCCTATTTTTTTATGGCGGTACGAAGTTCGCTGGGTCAGCTAGTAATAATATAAAAATGAATCGCTGAATGTGTTGCTAAGCGCGAATCTCGAGAACAGCTGAATCGATTTCGATAAATTTTTTTTATAATATTCCTTGAAGTACGAGGATGGTTCTAAAGCAGAGAAAAATTAAAAAAATGCCTGAAAAAATCCAAAAACAACACTTTTCTATACTCCCATACAAGCGATTCGTAATAATACTTAAAAGTCAATTTGAACTTTTGAACGCAGTGATCAAATATAAGCCGCGAGCTTGCCAGTCGACTTGCAGCAAACCTAACCCTGGTTTATGTGAGAAACTAGGCCCGATCGTCGCATGCGTGTCTAATGTTAGTGGAGAGGTTCCAGGAAGGCAAAACAATTGAATGTCGTGATGTCAATAGAAGTTTCAAAAAGGCAAATATACCATTTTCAGTTTTTTTTTTATAATTATATGAAGAGACATTTTAGTCTACACTGCAGCTCTACACTGAAGCGAAGCGAGGGCCGGCGACTAGTAAATAAATAAATCAGAGCATCTATACTGTTGAAACATGTTCTATTTAATGAGTGGTGTGCGTGAAAACATAAGAAACAAAGACATTCATCAAAATCCTATCCTTCCTTCTTAATCTATCTATATATATAAAACTCAAAGGTTTTGACATAGTGATCTATCAACGCACAGCCCAAACCACTGGACGGATCGGGCTGAAATTTGGCATGCAGGTAGATGTTATGACGTAAACATACGCTGAGATTTGATTTTTTACGAAGGATTTTGATCAATTCTACCCCCAAGGGGATAAACTAAGAAATGAAAGTTTGTATGAAACTTTGTCAATTTTAAACCGATCGGGCTGAGACTTTACATGCAGGTATAAGAAGAATCATAGATGAATGTTATTGTGTATAATAAAATCCTGAGAACAAAAACTGTAGTCTACACTTCAGCTCTACACCGAAGCGAAGCGAGGGCGGGCCGCTAGTCCAATAATAAAATGAATTGTCTACTCACGCATGCGCCAGCGAGGATTTCCGCGTAAAGTTGAATATTGCCATTTTTGTCCATGAACTTGTCACGAACCAAGTCGTTCATCTGAAATCAATATCACGCGTGAATCATGATCTTACTAGTTTGAATCTTAGTAATGAAGAACATTATAAAGTCATGGTTATACTATACATTGCATTGAAGATCTTAAATGCACTCGACCGCGATTGATGATTGTGATGAATGATTGAATTTTATTAAAAACCTCGAGTAAATTTTTTTTCAAGTACCCATGGTTCCGCCATGGGGAATTTTGAAATGTTATTTTTAATTATGTTTTGAACAAATTATCTCACTTTCAGCTTGCTGTAATTTTTTTGTACCTTTGAATGTCTAAATTGACCGGATTACTACAGAAAACGCTTTGAAGTGAAAAATTCTTTAGCGGCGTTGTACACTTTTTTTGTATGGGTAAAAAATGTTAAACTCACGTCAGGTTAAACACGTGGGCTTGATCTCATCATGACACACAACAAAATTGGAAAGGTTGTTGACTTTCAATATATTGCACGAAACATAGTAATATTTTATTTTATCGTATTATAATAATAAGTCTCTATCTAGGACGTCTACGTGGCAGCTTTATTGCGAAGAAAATTCTTTGTTTTACAATAGATGTCGCTAGGTGCGCTTAAATGTGATTCATGTAAGTTGATTTTTCTGAGAGATTTTTTTTTAATGTTATATAAATTGTCATGTTAGTGTACGATAGCGCAATAAATAAATATTGTCGCTTATACATACAATAAAGTCTCAAGCGATATCAAAGAGTTAACAACAAAAATAAATTTATAGATACTATAAACAAAGCATTTATTAAAAAAGCTTATCAAAAAGTGTGAGATTATATTACAGACAAAAATGCTTGGTTTAAACTGTTCCAATCATTCCAACAGTTTTCTATATGAAATTGTAAATGTATTGTTAAATCATGACTGTATTGACGTTGTAACAACATAATGATTTGTAAATGTTGTTGCATTATTCATTTAATGTTTTAGAGTGTTTTTCGACCGTTTTACTCCTATTTATTTATTTATTCAATTTAAACATGCAGGCTTACAGAATAATCCAACACGCCGGCAAGTCATACATACAAAATATTAACAATCATGTAAGGTATTCATTAAATTCAATAAAATTAAGAAAAAGAGATAATCAAATAATAATAATTATAACAACTAAAAAAAAACAGTAATGCCAAATAGTTAGGTAATGTCAAATAGTATTTAATAGAAACAAAGTCAAATCACCTATTGTAAAAGTTAATTAAATTTATAATAAAATAGTTAAAAATGTCAAATCAATAAAACAATTAATAATGTCATATCTAATTTCAACAGATAATGTCAAATATACTAATTTAATAAATAATGTCATATCATTTTAGTTATAAATAAATGAATTGTCAAATTTAGAAATAATCAATAAGCTATTTTCTCAAGAAACTCAAGTGCAGCCGCCACTAGCTTTACTAAACCATCAGCGAATAAGTCGATATTGTTACATCGCGCGCGTAGTGGGTGCGTGCGCGGCGTGTACTATATTATAGCTATATTTAAGATAAAAGTTGTGTGACGTCACTCACCGTTAGCTTGATGGCCTTCTCCGGAGCGACGCCGATCAGCTGCGGCACGAGCCCGCGGTACAGGCCGAAGGTGCCTTCGTGCCGCACGACTTTCTTGAAGCAGTCCCAAGAGTTTCGATACGCCACTTCGCCGATGAACGACCCGGTGCGTTGGTTCTGCATACGAGTCTTGACCAAGTCGATAGGGTATACGGCGGATGCCCCCACAGCTATTAAAGTAATCATCATCATGATCATCAGCTAATTAATGTCCCAACTGCTGGGGCACAGCCCTTCCCTATGGATGGAATAGGGACATTGGGTCATGACCCACCACGCGGGCCCAGGGCGGATTGGCAGGTGCTAACGACTGCAGATGCAGCCGGGACCACCGGCTTAACGTGCCTTCCGAAGCACGGAGGAAATCGAGATAGAAGATTTTTGGTCACCCATCCAATGACCGACCACTGCTAAAGTTGCTTAACTTCAACGATCACAACCGAACGCGCTAACCACTTGCGCCATCGAGCTCCTCATTTTCGTAATTGGAATATTTCGACATGAGTGTTGATAAAATAACTTACCACCAGCGATAGAACCAAGGGTGAATCTGTATGTGCTCTCCAATATTTGAATAAGTACACTGCGCTCCTCGGGACTCTGGAACAAAGATAACACTCATATAAATCCGAATCTAGTCAGAAAACATATACATTTATTTATATGATCGAGGATATACTTAGATTAAAACAAAAAGGGAAGATACAGTACTCGCGACTCAAAAGTGAGCCGCTTAAATTGTGGTGCATGACCACAATTCGCTTTAGTCACAATTGGACATTCAAACACGCTGCATGCGCACTCAATATAACAATATTAAGGTCGTTCAAGTATTACGTAAGCTCTATAGGGGGGCAGGGGGGTCTTTGCTTTGCTTATTTTTTTACGATTACGCCAGCATCATGGATTCGGGTGCCGTGGACTTAAGACAGTTAATTGGAAAAGCTTCTTTTGTTCGTAATAGTAAATAATAAAATTGTATTTGTAGTTAATAGAAACAGTTTTCATTCGTTAATCTGTAATAACATTTTTTTTCTCAAAAAACACGGTTTGTAGTGAATGTTATTAACGTAATCGCCATTTTGTTATCAAGAAAAGGACAACAATACAGCTCAGTGTACGGACTCGGAAGCGGACTCCCCGTTGCGCTCGCGCTGCGTTGAAACGTAGTTCTGTCACGCTCGCTCGATTGAATATGTATATTCAGACGTGTGAGAGTTGCTTATTTAGTCGAGTCGGATCATATTTTATTTGATGCTAGTATGAGCGTACCGTATCTGCCCTTTTTGTTTTAATCTAAGAGGATATATATGATAAAGGAAAGAAGTTACTAAAACTGTGTGTAAGAAGAATTAAAGACAGTGTAGATAGTAGCAGCTAATAGAAAATGTATAGTAAACGCAACATATAGTGTCAAAGCGGAGAATGTGAGATTTTTTATGTCTCTCTGTGTTTATCGAATTTTATTGCGTTTATACGAGTGTGTAAAGAGAATAAAAGCATAATTTAGAAATATACATCTCATATTCATTGAGAAGAACACTAGCTTTCTGCCTCTGGCTTCGCATAAGTGAATGACACGAATGTAGCTGTTTTAAAACCTTACCTTGCTTTAACCATGGATAAATATATCAGTTGAAAATCTTGTATTAATTTGTGAAGCAACTGATAAATTAATACATGATTTTAAATTGAAGTTACTACGAACAAAGAAGTTTAATGTAGAAGCTTAAATGTGAACTTAACTATTATTTACATGACTTCGTATCGTAGGTACAGAGATGCTTCCGAACCATCCAAGTGATGTAATTCCAAAAAATATAAAGTGGGTTGTTATTAATATGTACAGCCAACAAAGTTATGGCTGGATTACGACGATTTTTCTTTGTGGTCATACAAATTCCTTGTCCAAAAGATCGTCACGAGCTTTTGTTCTTGTTAAAAATCACATTATATATTGCACAAAAATTAATAATGGAAGTAAGTATCTATTTACGTATTTCCTTAAGTCATAAGATTGGGTAAGTACACCCTATGCAACTTATAATTATAAAAGGTCTTATTTTTTCTAATAGACAAGAGGCAGGAGGACCGACACTCATCTAGTACGAGCAAAACAATTTTGAAACTGCTGTGAAGTAAGCGCAAGTCACGTATAATTTGGCTCATTGCTAACTTCACAAACACTAAGTTTGAATCGAACAATACTCCAGTTAGTCGTATGATCTTGGTTCTATTGCATCATTGCGTGTGGGGATATTGCACAAGATGGACGTCGGAGAAGTTATTGCAGTAGCCAACACAGCCGTCAGATCAGTATTCGTAGACTACTTCATGTCGCCAATTCTTTGTTCAATGTTCAATTGTGTATAAAAACATGTCACCTTAAAAAAGGTTACTATACTGTTAAAGATTTCATGAATGATAAGGCAACTTGGGCTTAATATAATGGACAAAGTTGTATTACTTTGCTAATTTGGTTAAAAATTGTTTAATCGCCACTTCTTAATTTTAAAATAGTACCTAGTCATACTTAACTATTATTAATTAATAATATTAATGTGATGAAAGTTGACGTCAACACATGTTTTCAATTTTTGATGTCATCTTTCAATTGACGACTCTGTATGAAACAAAACAGGGAGAAAAAAATAGCCTTTGCTGAGTTTCTTGTCGGTTCTTCTCAGTACAAGGTCTCCCGCCGTAGATTTACGAACCGATGGCGTAGCGTTTGACTTTCACAAGAGCTTGTAACAGCCTAGACTGAATAAATGAGTTTGAGTTTGAATTGTCGTCTTATCGACCAAACTTACTTCAAATATACCGTGAATATAACCTAACCTAACCTAACCTAAAATAGCATAGCTTAATTACTGCACGCTGAGCCTAAGCGAGGGACACGCAAACTTATAAAGTACGAAGGAGGAGGTTCTCATTCTACGCATAACTTATGCGATAGCGAAAACACAGTGTAAAGAATGATGTCCGGTGTATATAGAAAATAGATATAGCCATATGGTCATATGTACCGCCATTATTCATTAGTTTTGGTGTCGAAAATGTAAAGGAGGAAAAAGAAGACTATCTTCTTTATCCTTCTTCTCTGGACTCTTCGAATACTAATTCGAAGACCAATCACTGTTGATTTTAACCATGACTCTGTGACACCCTTTTTTCTGGCATGCCTCTTACATAAACTTGCAATTAAATGTCTGGGCTGGCTTTTCATGAACCCTTTCATTATGATCCTTTGTTAACGCCATCTATCCTTCGACGAGCGAATCTACAATCGGTCCATCATCATAATCCGTTCATACATTCATTCCATACCCATTCGTTACTACATTCACTCATTAGTTATATATAGTTTCACTTTCCCTCTTGCGATTCGAATTCAAAAGACAACGTACGCACATCTATCTATACACATAAAACTCAAAGGTGACTGACTGACATAGTGATCTACCAACGCACAGCCCAAACCACTGGAAGGATCGGGCTGAAATTTAGCATGCAGGTAGATGTTATGACGTAGGCATCCGCTAAGAAAGGATTTTGATCAATTCTACCCCCAAAGGGATAAAATAGGGAATGAGACTTTGTCAATTTTAACCGATCGGGCTGAGACTTTGCATGCAGGAATAAGAAGAATCATAGATGAATGTCATTGTGTATAATACGGGTGGGCCGCTAGTAATTTCATAAAATCTGTATTTTACTTTAAATAATATTCTACAATCTGAATATCCAATTTTTATTGAAAAATTCACATAAAGTAGACTTTTAAGCTATCGCACATCCTTCGAGCCGGATCACAGGGCCTTCCGTTTGGTGCCAGAAATTTCTCCTTTTCGCATTCTACAAAGCATGAAAATAACATTTTGTTGCCAAATTTAGTTTGACCCGTACCTGTGATCCGGCTCTAATGATCCTAATGAAGGGGCTCGAGATAAATCAGCCCAGACATTTAATTGTAAGTTTATGTAAGAGGCATGCCATAATAAAGAATGTCTTACTTAAAATCAACACGGATTGGAATCTCCGAACACTAATGAGGTTTTCAACACCAAAATTAATGGAAAAATATCGGTGTATGGGGGTAAGTTTAGAAATAGCAAAATAAAATTACCGACTTACAACCCGCCCCGCCCATTTTCTATTTAGAGTGTCACTCAAAAAGCAAAAGGAATAAATATTTCAATTACTTTTTAATCAAAAAAAGTAGCTTATTATGCAGAGGTTTTTCATTTACTCTTTTGGATAAAATCGATGATAATATTAGGTACAGACAGCCACAGGTATGGTTATCTAAAACTGTAAATTTTCTCCAAACGACTTTGAGCTTTAAGATTCTTGATATAAGTTTGACAATCTATTCAGAAAATTTTACAACCGTGGTAACTTGATGTGTTGCACAGTACGTTAACTGACAAGATGTATATAATATATGATGATGGATGGATAGTATCAAATATGATGAAACAAAAAAAATAGGGTACACTGACTGGAAGTTTAGTAGGTAATTGTTTAAATTACTATTTTAAAAATACCCCCAGTATATGAATTGTAACCTAATGTGAGTTATTGGACGAGATAAAAAGTTAATATCTCAGATAAGCTAAGGGCTAGCAATCTATTTTTAGGACTTTGATGTTTAATGTCATGTTTTATCAGAAACTTACTAGGGCGTTTGATTGAGTAAAATAAAAAATAAACATAGAAACAGCATAAACTTATGTGACCTGTACTTACCAACATTTGGTCCACATAGTTTACTAATCGATAAGGCTCTCTTAACATATTTACCTCCTCCTTTTGTGCATTGAAAGAGAGAAAAAACACACAGCTTTAAGTTAGTGGTGTTTCCAACACAACTCTTACACATAACAACATAGAGTCTACATTAGTCTAAACATACATTTTCATTAAACGTGTTTACTCGGGGTCAGCTCCTGTAAGAATTTTCGAGATTTTGCGTTAAAAAGAGACAGAGTTATGGGCTGTGCTAGCGGTAAGAGTGAGAAAGACATATACTCACCGAGACCGCTTTGATTTCTGCGACTCTTCGTGTGACTTGCTTGAAGTATTGCTCCGGTGTGATCAAGTTGAGATCGTTATAAATGATGCGGCTGAAAAGAAAAAAAAATAGTTATTAATAATTTGTAATAAATACGAAATTTATCTCTAATTGTGTGTGCTTAATCTTATCTAATTTTCTCATTCTGAAGCTGTTGACGCTCCAACCTATGCACTCAAACTGAAGTGGAAATGGGCTGGCCATGTTGCTCGTCTATCACACGGAAGGTGGACCAAGAAAATTACATTATGGGGAGGACCATACGGAAAAAGGAAAATTGAAAGACCATATAAACGTTTCGAGTGATGATATCATACAAACAGCAAACATTCACTGGACAAAATCAGCTCAAGATAGGAAAGAATGGGAAAAAGTGAAGGAGGCCTTTACCCAAAGAGGGATCCATACACCTGAATAAAAACTAATACTACCAACTTAATAAATAAAGAATTGCAACTAACAAACTAACAACTTTTCTAAAATGTAAATAACCGATATGGATTAAGAAAAAGTCTTTATTATTATTACAAATATGAAATAAAATTTTGGCCAGAATGGAATTGTCTAAAAATTCATTAATCATCATTAACATGATTATGGTAATTTCCACAGATTTCAGAAGTGGAAGAGGGAAGGAATGTAAAACTCATCAATTTAGCTAGAATGAGATAACATAAAATTTTCATCGCCACAGAACTGGAATGCCTTAACTCATTGAAATTAATTAGACCATAAAACAGCTATGTAGGTTTAAGCAACAGAAAAAACAAAATATTGTTCTGTTTTTTCTGTATCGTTACATGTCATCAACTTCATCATCATCATCATCAACCTATTAATAGGTTGTCCCCACTGCTGAGGCACAGGCCTTCCCTATGAATGGAATAGGGGAGATTGGGCCATGACCCACCACGCTGGCTCAGTGCGGATTGGTGGGTGCTAACGACTGCAGATGTAGCCGGGACCAACGGCTTAACGTGCCTTCCGAAGCACGGAGGAACTCGAGATAGTAAATTTTTGGTCATCCATCCAATGACCGACCACTGCGAAAGTTGCTTAACTTCAACGTTCGCAGCGGATCGCGCTAACCACTTGCGCCATCGAGCTCCTCAATGTCATCAACTTATCCGAAACCATCAAACTAAAACTGACTTCGACTTCATCGAGCTTATTGACAGATTGAGGAAATTTAACGAACACACTGTAATTCCATCTCTTATGTATTAGACAAGTCCGTCCGTCCGTCCGTCCGTCTGTCTGTGGTGCTGTTTCAGCGGCCAAACCGTAAGAGACAGATAAAGAGAATGTTTAAGTTATAAGTTAAGAATAGTCTGATAAGACTACAAACCGGATTTGAGTAACGTAGCACTTCCGGTTTTCGAGAAATCACGAATTTCAAACGAAACCACACAAAATCTCCGAAGTTCTCAATTAATTAAATACATTCTTTTTTTTTGTTTTGGTGAACATTTGGTTCACTGGTTTGCTAGTCTGAATATAATACCAGGAAAAGTTCTTAGTAAAAACATAACTCACCCGTTCGAATGGTTGATCATTTCGCACAGGGTAAACAGTATCTCCACTTCCAGCGGTGTGATCTGACTCATCATCTGAGCCGAATGGAGGAACTCTTCCTTGGTGACCTCCTGAGTTCTGTGCCCGTTGGTAGCGTTCAAATAGACTCGCTTGATGAGTTCCATGTTGTTGAGGAGAGAATTGAACGCCATATAGTAAGGGAAGCTTATCTTGCGTTCGCCTTGTGGGAAGCCCGATGCCTACAACAATTTGTAGAAAACGATAACGTTTATTCTCAGCCTATTAATGTCTCAACACAAAAATATAATTTAATTAAAACTTTAAATTTTATTAGAAACACAAAAGAAAATTGGGCAAAATACATCACAGAACGGTATCCAAGAGTAAAAGAGCAAGACAAATTAAAAGATAAGAAGATGTCATAAATATAGTAAGGGGTACTTGGACAAGGAAAGCAAAATGTAGCAAACTTTGGGAAGACAATAGAGGAGGCCTATGCTGAAGGGCAAGACAATCTAAAATAAACAGAATAGGGTATTTGACAAATTTTAGAAAACGATCTCACGTTATTTACTAATGTTTATAGAGTCCATAAAAAGTGGAAATTCATCATTATGTTGTGTATTTCGGTAAAAATAACGAAATCAAAAACTCCATTTTCAAGTTGCCGCGAAAACGTTTCTCTGGACAACATCTTACTAGTGTGTGACGTCACACGACTGTTATTAAAACGTCAAACGATACAATGTAATGTCACTTTAACCGGAAGCTTACTAGCTTGTGACGTCATTTTAGGCTCCGCCAATCCCAAGCGTTTTGGGTCACGTGACAATAGATAAAATAATAAATAAATAAATAATAAATATTTGCAACACTCTCACCAATTAGCCTAGCCCCAAAGTAAGCACTATAAGGCTTGTGTTATGGGATATTAGGGTAACGGATAGAATACACATACTTTACATATCTCTTATCTATTAGACAAGTCCGTCCGTCCGTCCGTCTGTGGTGCTGTTTCAGCGGCCAAACCGTAAGAGATAGATAAAGAGAATGTTTAAGTTATAAGTTAAGAATAGTCTGATAAGACTACAAACCGGATTTGAGTAACGTAGCACTTCCGGTTTTCGAGAAATCACGAATTTCAAACGAAACCACACAAAATCTCCGAAGTTCTCAATTAATTAAATATTTTGTTGAACATTTGGTTCACTGGTATGCTAGTATAAGTATATTTATATAAAAATACATATTTAAACATCCATGACTGGAGTACAAATGCTCGTGTTCATCATACAAATATCTGCCCCCACCGGGATTCGAACCCGGGACCTCTCGAGTCGGCGACGTCATGAAACCCGGCGTACAAACCACTCGGCCACGGAGGTCGTCAAGATAAGAAAACTATTATCTTTTTCGTGGCATTTTGGTAAAATAATGAATATTTTTTTTGTAAAAATAGTAAAACTCTCTGCCGATATTCATTCTAAACACAGATGCTAACAATTGGCACTTTATTTTTTATACTGTCAAATACCCTATTGTTGCTACGAGTGAAGATAAAGAAGTGTAGTTATATTTTTTATTTTTTAAGCATTTAAGATGCCTTGTGTAGCCGTATTTACATAAACTCCCTATGGGCACAGGTCTTCCCGATGGATGGAATACGGAGAGTGGTCCATGACCAATCACGCAGGCCCAGTACGGAATTGACTACTGAAATGCTTTAAGATCTAAATCTTAAGCTTAAGCAATGTGAGCAACGATATTAAATACCCTAGATACACCAACACGAACAAAATCATGCCCGAAACCTGTACACAAGCTACATTGGACGATCCACGAAGCTCCGTAAGATGATCACGTAGTCTAAAGAATATAAGGCATTATTTCAACATTGAAAATCACCTTTAAAACATACTGTTTTCACACTGTTTTAATTAAGACCTTATGTCTTAATTAAAACGCACGCACCATAGAGTTATGACCGATATGTATGCTTGTAAAATTATATGACTTATTGCTATAAGCAGAAGAATAAAGACCTTATTTCTTTGCCTGTACGCTCAATTCTGAATGCGCTGTTAGTAATGTAGCAGGTACGGTCCGCGAGGATAAGAGATGGTTAATTATCGACCATGCATTTGAATATCACAAATATTTTCTATTAAATCAGTAGTAAATAGTAAGTATTAAAACAAAATTTACTTCAAATGCGTTATACTAACAAACAGTGATTAGATAGCTGTCAAAAAAACGACATTTTACATTCTTTATGTATTTCTTTCGCCTGTTTTCACGGAGCTCAGCGGCATGTTGACTTTTCAACGGCCCGCGCGTGACTGTGAATCAAGAAGTGCTTGAGTCGTGTTCAAGCACTTCTTGATTGGGACTCATTTTGAGCGCACGTGGTGTATCTAAGGTATTTAATATCGTTGACTCTGAGTCCCTAAAGTATATCCAATACTGAGTTTCTGATCAGAGTCTTATCGATGCCAAAATAAAATTAACAAAAATGGAAATCCAAAACTCACATTAATAACTTTGGTCTTCAGATCCTTGGTCAGCAGATGGCTTTTGACGGACATCATGATGTCTCTGAAGTCACCAGCACTGATGAACCCGGTACCATCCTTATCTTTATTCTTGAACGCTTCCACTCCATACTCCTCGTGGAAGTCATGGAGGAACTGACTGAACTCCTGGTACGTCACCAACCGCTTCCGGTCCTTGCCAAAGTATAAGCGGACGAATGTTGATTCCATGTTGAAAGGCAACTTCTTGTGTAGGACCGTTTTGCGCATGACTTCTGCAAACTCGTCTAGATGGGAGATAATAAGGAATATTTATTTATTTATTTTACTCTTAATGCACAGACGGCACTACAAACGGCAAAACAAAGGCGAACTTAATGCTGTAGGCATTCTCTACCAGTCCATCATAGAGTGCTGTGGATAATTAATGGTAGGAATAAATGTAAATAAATATAAAATGTAATTTGCTAAACAATTTTTGTTATAGTAAAAGGTACAAAATTGACACGTAAAATATGGTTTGATAGAATGCTATTTATCCATAGTTTTTGTGTCAATTTTGTACCTAAAACGTCTCAATGTGCCTTCTGAAGCATGAAAGCGTCTCAGTAGTAAAAACCCCCTGCGCCATCAAACTCTATTAAGGTTAGTTATTCATTTCTGGAAAGAAAGGGAATTCCCCTAGTCAGCCGTCAATACTATAGTCTATACATCCAAAACCTAATAATGCAATGGCATTATTAGGTTTTGAAGATCAATTGTAAATAAAGTTGAGTTCACAGCTGAAACAGGAGATCTGCTCTCTTTTTGTGAAACAAACTTTCGGTGACAAACGAAGTCCTCACCAAATGCCACGAGTCCGTTGCCGTTGGTGTCGAACAGCTGGAAGGCAGTTTTGTACAGTGCGTCGGGCACACACAGAAGCCCCTCGAAGGCCTGGAACTCGGAGAAGGAGATGTACCCATCCTTGTCCATATCCACGATGCCCGCGATGAGCTTAACAGACTCCTTGTTGTAGTCATCTGAAAATAGATTTTGAAATTAAACAAAAATTGTATCACTGACACACCAATTGGCCCAGGCCAGTAAGACCTGTGTTATGAGAAATATATTTTTATGTAGATTTATATAACACAGGTCTTACTTACTTGCTTGCAACCTCGATATAACAAATCGGAAGGCAACAAGTAAATATTTATTAAATTGAGTAATTCTTTAAACTGAGGTTTGTTATATTGAGGTTCGGTTGGTCTAAAATTTGTTATAAACAGGTAAAAAAAATAGTTTCTTGGCGTGACATGAATCATGTACTATGAGATTAAGGGCCATATATTTATGGAAACGTTATATAGAGGTTTTTGGTGGACAAAACTCGTTAATTAGAGGTATTTACGCTTTTGTTGATAGTTGAAAATATGTTATAAAGAGGTTGTTCGCAATGTAAAGCTATATTTTACACTTATGGAAAATTCAAGGGGATTACAAAAAATTTCTTAAATCAAGGAAGTCGTTATTGAGGTACGTTATATTAAGGTTGCACTGTATAAACATCCATGATTTAGGTACAAATGCTCATATTCATCATACTAACATTACCCACCGGGATTCGTACCCGGGGTCTCACAAGTAGGCAACACCTTAAAACCGGTGCACATACCACTCCTCCATTGAACTAATGGTATGGAATATTTAATTAACCTAATTATTATATTTAGTTAACCTAATCATGGGTAACCAAATCAGGTGGGTCATTAAATGCTTTTTTAATCAAATAAAAAAAAAGGTTAAAATTAATATCTCCATTCAAGAAAGTGATTTTTCAGCGTGGAGTCCATGTGGTAAAAGAGTGATAAAGATTATAGACTTATCATACAAATAAATTGATATGATACATCATTTTATGAAGCAAATTATCAACCTTATCATTTTAAACATCTATTATAAACCAAGTCACTTGATGAATTATGCAACATTTTACAGGTATACCTAATGCAGCAGATTAAATGTAATAAAATAGTATAGTGTAATTTAATAAAAAATTAAAACTGCAGCACTTTGCATTTCATACTCAATGAGTTGTATGTTCTTGTGTATTGATCGAACTATAGAAAAGGTTCATTAATTTCAATAATTAAGTATTTAGGCAAACTAAACAATACTGACCTTCATCAAATAATCCTAGAAACTTTCTGACAAAATCTTCACTACTGATTTGTTTTTCACCATTCTTTTCAACGGTGGCATACTTCAGAAATATCTCATGGAGTTTTTCTGAATCTGCCCTTTTTAAATAACCAGCCCCCTGTAAACAACAAAAAATTAAGGTTTATTATGTATTTATTTCATAGGAGTATAAAACATAACAATTGAGAATCGTAAAATAAAAATAAATTTAGTATTACATCCACTTAAAGCATTGACTGATTACTCATTTTATCTTGTTCCACAAATGATAACATGATGTAAGAATGTAATCAATCAATCAGAACTAATATTGCTTCCTAACATAGATTTTTTGCTATAATTTTATATATTGTATAATGAATATTGATGAGTACTTTTCCATTTGAAAAGAACCTTTATCTTGTCCAAAATTGCTGATTTGCCATTGTTTAACTAAAATAAAAAATACTTATTAATATTTTATTCATATATTTTGTATGTAATACAAATGACAGAGTAACACATAAACCGCTCAAGTCAATAAATTACACACTTCTCTTTCCCATGACAGGTAAAATATACGGGCTTAATTGCCCTCTAAACTAGGTCAAATCCAGAGAAACCTGAACAGATGGCATTCCTAACTCAAAACAAGACAATCCCTGAAGCTAATAAATACTATAGAAATATAATATTTTAGAACTATTTGTAATGGCTTGGGTTATTCTTTGGACAATTCAAAAGAGTTTTTAACGATACAATTTGAATTAAGGATAATATCATATAGGATATTAAGATTAATAAATGTGTGTGTTACACGTAACTTTAAAATTATAGACACTTTGTTACTTTGATTAAGTTGGTAAGTAACTATGTGAAATACTTAAATTTTATTGTGTTCATGTTCATCACATCAAGTCAAATGACACATACTCATGCTCACACATACAACTAGGTTAAACATGGTTAACACAAACCTATTCCATTATTCTTGTGTTTCTAATATTTCACTATTCAACACAAATGCTACGCCTATAACAAACAGTGGCAGTCAGTGCTTAATATAACAACTTGTGATGTTTTACTGTATTGTTAAAATTCAAAGAGGTACTATAAATGGTGAAAATCTATTGCTTACAAAACATGTATTATATACAACTTACTATGATAAGATGCTCTAACATTAAAAAATCTTTAAAAGAAGTAAAGGTTATGTAAGAAGTTACCGAATAGCCAACTTATGTTAGAGGAGCATTTCTGATTAGCTTTTTTAATTTATTTCCAAATTAATGTCTAAGTTTATATTATACATCTATCGTCAAACTGTTCTTACAGTTTTTAGTATTATTTCTGTACCTACTTATAGGTACTGTCAGTAATTAAAACAAAATAAATAATTGCACTAATGAGTTAAATTTAACCGTCAGATAAGTTTAATATAATTAACACTATGCGAATGTACTATTTATTACTTTTTCATTTGATATTAAAACTCAAGAATTTCCATTTGAATAAAACAACAAGATAAGAAACAATTGGTTGTGAGCTATTTTTATGTTATTAAATATAGTAATGTTAACTTATTTCAAACCCTCTTTAAAAGACTTAGAACTCCAATTTCTCATCAATATCATCACTGTTCACACATTCACAAACGAAGTTGTTGAATATTATTAGCAGAATTTAATTACCCGACGTGAAGTCATATTGCTGAGGATACACAATTCATACTGAATTGATGCCCTGGTCAATTGACGTAACTGATAAGAGTATAGTGTTATCTTGTCTACTGTACACATGCTACCTCAATCAGTTTACACTTTATATAAGGCTGATACAGAGCAGTGTATAACAACATGCAACTCTGGCAGCATCATAGTCATCATAATACATTCCAAATTCAATAAATAAATTTGAAAAGAGAATCTAATGGTTGCAACTGCATTGGAGCAAGTCTCTTTGGTGAGTTGAGGTGAGTAGTAATATAAATTTCAGTTATTATTAAAGCTATTTAACCTTCTTTATTTAAATGTGTTACCTACTTCAAATTAAGGAGTAAACATAAGTGTAAAGTTGGTTATTTTTGTATTTGGAATACGTATTTTAATCTGGTCGATAATGAGTCAAAAATTAGATAACAGGTGATATAAGCAAATAAGGCCACTGAAGCGAAGTGACGTTTCTGTAGTTCAAGGGCGGACAGCCCAAGGGCATCATTACAGCATAAAATTGCGTGAATCATAAGAGACATATTTATTGAAGTAAAAGTAGATTTTAGTTTATGAAAAACTTATCGTTATAAAGTTAAAAAACTTACCCACCTCTTGACAACTGGCCTGAGTTATCACAGAGCTCAACAGCAATTTAAACATTACAGTATTTTTTGTCACAACAAAGTACTTTTACCTATAACCTGTAATAACCAAGTCTGTAATGATCGTGTAAAAGTTCGTTTGCCTTGATAACAGACCACAATACGTAAAAATATTACAAAATCTATTTTAGTTAACCACGTACGGCGCTCGTGATCATCTCCTTCGCCCGGCAATGTTAGAACCTACACAGTTTTAATTGACCTTTTGTCTGCTCGCAAATCCAGGAAAACAAGACAACTCTCATTTAGTCGGGTTACAATTGCAACTTTTCTATTGCTGATTTTGACGTTTTCGTATAGTGATGTGCCGGTCTTACCTGCCCGTTCGTCTGGATACTCGATTATGATTGTATACCACATTTTTTGAGTAGGTACCAATTCGGCAAGTATTCGGTGATTTCTAAAAAATGATTTATTTACTTATTACATACAGTATGGGTATTTTAAGAACTTTCATTAGTACAGACTTCTTTTTTATCTGAAGGTCTTTTGAATTTTGCTAATAGACTTAAATAAATAAAATTAAAACATAAGTCAAGGTAATCAGAAGACCTATAAAACAAAAGTCTAGACATTGGTTGTTATCCGTTTTCATCTTATATTTAAGTAGAAAGAGTAAAGTAAGTTATATGGTTATTTAGTTAATTTCGGACAAGATGGTAGTGCATATGCATTTTTTGTTGTTCTGTTTAAAGATATAATTTTAGGTGCGCATATTTATTAGTTATTAATAAAAAATAGGCACTAATAACTTATACGTAGCCATCCTCTTGTTGCTCTCTTACTTTTAAAATAAAACGCGTTTTAATAAAAAAATTGGAAGTATAAAAAACTGTATCACAAAACAAATTCTGTTCCGTTGTCTGCATGGTCTATTGATTTTATGACGAATCAAACCTTTGGTCTAAGAATCAAACTAACCCAAGCCAAGGGTTTGCAACGGGACATTTGTTTGCATTGTTTTCATTATCTAACTGCTGTATCTTTGACCTCAAATATCTGATCCTGGAAGATATAAGAGAGCCTTTATAATTAAACGAGCCCAAGCTCGATAGCATTGCGTCGTTTTGTCACAGAGTTTCCATGGCCATCTCTTAGCTTTATTGTCAGGCCCTAACCAAGATCCTTACCCATCGTTCTTGTCAACACGAATGAAAAGAGCCTAGACTCGATGTAATAGCATCATTTTATTATAAAGATCCCATAGATACCTTTGAGCTCTAACATGAGATCAATTTCATTCTTCTCAAAATGTCCTTGTTGATTGCTATCGTGTTCGTGGTGATATGTTTTGTTTTGCTGTGAATTTAAATGATCACAAGTTTTAATATGAAGATACATACTTATTCGAATAACTCGAATATTCAGGACTTGTTTGCTTTATTTTCGTATTCGAATAGTAAAAATCTTAGTAAAACAGACCGAATAATCGATCAAAACAAATACCTACACGAATTTCATACGCTATTAATAGAGAAGGTCGTACAGTTAATACATTTCTTTTGTTTTCCCATTTTAAATAATTAATTAATTTGTGATTAATTAAATTATTTAAAATAGAAACATCTTATATAACTACACGTGATAAGAAAAGTAAATAAACTTAATAACGACAGTGGAAAGGCAAAATCGCTTATACGCCTTTTTGGTCGAAAATGAGTTAATTAAATCAATTTAATCCGACTTTTTTCCTGCGTCGATCTGTTTATGTTTCGTCAAGATGTGAGTACCTACTTCTTTGGTGCTTAAGCAACTAAATATTTTTGAAGATTTTTATTGTTCATAACGCTGAAGCGATATAAATTGTGGTGCTTTTTTGAACCAATTGCGCTTATGCCCTACTACCTATATGGCGTATGATTTGATGTTTGCTAGACAAAAAATGTATGGCGGCTGAGTGATTTTAGTTTAAGCGACGTCTAATTCGTAAAGTAATTATCCTTCCTTTCCTCATCTGATCCGCTGATCAATTTCTCTGTCTTTCTTCCTCCTTAGGTCCCATCTTGTCTATTCTCTTTGGCAAGTGGGGCACCCCCTACTTTAAATCTGTCTCCTTCTTTCATCCCATCGTCTATCCAGGTATAGCTGATGGACGATTTCGGTGACGGGCTTCCGGACACATGTGCCGGTCCCCCGGACACCAGTAACATTTACATTGACATTTCGCATTCGAATTCGTTAATAGTTCGTGGTAAGGGTACTGCACGAGCACTGTTTATAGTTATTTATTATACAAGAGTGGAAAGTTCCTTTTTAACCGCGTGCTCGATTTGGATGACCGAGCAAGCGAAGGATTCTAAAGTTGAATCACGAGCGCAGCGAGTGATTCTAAATTAGAATCCTGAGCGTCAGCGAGGGAAACAAACGAGCACAAGGTGAAAAATCTTTCCACTCGAGTGCAATACGTAACTTTTCATCCCACCTCAGCGAGGAAATGACAAAATGAAAAAGAAAACAATTTATAATGACAAAATATTTTTATTTCAATTAAAACACATTAAGATAATCTATAAATTGAAGAAAATAATAAGAAGTAGAAAATAATTAAGAAATATTAAATGTAACGTTGCTACAGTTACTTATGTTAAGTTTAATATTTTTGTTAGGTAATGTTATGTTGGTGTTTGTGAATTGTGCGCTGTTTTGTGGTAAACTACTCGTATCAGTAATTTTAAATAGTTGTGCCGATTCATTGGATTCTATTGGCGTAAATGTTGGCGAGAGAGGGCTATTGTTTCCAATCTTATGGGGGCTCATTTTAGATGTAGAAGGGCGAGACCAAGAATCCGACAGAGGTTCTTTCAGCGTTATGGCCTCCACGATACTATTACAAATTTTTGATTTACTTTGGATTGAATCCTCTATGTATCCCTCTACAACCGAATTAGACTTCCAGCCTCCATGGCGCTTAAGCGATAGAAGATCAGCCCCTGATTCGGCCAAAAGTGTGGCTGAGGTTCTTCTAAAACAGTGACCGGTGTATAACGGGGGTTCTAAAAGTCCGAGAAAAGTTGCTATTTCTCGTGGAATACTGCCAATTTTATTTTGACCCATAGGTTGTCGGATACACTTTCCGTTGCGATATTGTAGAAAAAATCGTTCAATTGGGGTGTTAGAAGGACGTAAAGCTTGATATTTCTGAACAATGTTTACATATTCCTTGCGAATAACGAAGTTGCGGTCTTTTTTTGTCTTGGTATTTAGTACATTAATTAATAGCAATTCATCAGAATTATGAGAATATTTTGATACGTTATTGACATTAAGTAGTGTAAGTTCATTTGTTCGACATGCTCCGGTTATACCAATAATAAGAACAACCTGTAACAAAAGAAGTATTTATAATCGTAAATAAATTAATCAAATTAAAAATATTGTAAGTACTATGTACAATTTTATCAACAACAAAAAATTACACGTATTGACTTACTTTTGCCGCTAAATATACGGAATCAGGTGCTTCATTAATAAACTTTGCAATTTCCGATGCTGTGAAAACCTTCGATTTTTTTGGTTTATAACCAGATGAGGCTCTTTTTAAAAATGCCACTAATTTATGATAGGTGTCGATATGAACGTCTTTCTTCATCTTAATTGTTAATTTTAGCATTGAATACGTACTCCATAGCGTGCTTGCTTTCTTGGTCTCAGATAATTCTATAAAATATGCCAGCAAAACGTTTTCGGAGAAAGTTTTTGCTCCTTTAGCTAGTCGCCACATGTTAAATATATCGTACTGTTTCAAATACTTCTCTCGTGATTGCTGAGGGAGAAGGCTCATTTGCGCATTATTAACTGTTTCAGTTAACTCAGTTGGCGTTAGATAAACTTCATCGTCGCTAATGTCACTCATTTTAGTTGATTTTTTTGTACAGTTTTTAGGTTATGTTAATTATATTAAGCAATAAAACGTGAAAAACTAGAATGGCGCGAAGCACGCAAATAAAACAAAGAAACCAAGAAGGTTCCAAATTTAAATTTTTTCACAATTTAAAAAGTTCTAATCATAAATTTGGCACCATAGAGGTTACATTAAATAGGTTTAATGACGTTTTGAATTTACAATTATATTGAGTACTCATTATATGTGATGTTCTAAATTCAAATCTACTTTGCCGCTCAAGCGAATAAAATAGAATTTTCCAGCCAGATTTCGAAGCGCAAAATTACACTTTCCGAGGTGGTGGGATGAAAAATGAATTACCTACTTCACTCTTCTATCTTTAAATTACGGTTACCTACCTAACAAAATCAATAAGGTATACCTGTAGTTGGTACCTACATAACTACCTAATCTGATCCTGGCGGATATCTTGACCTTTGTTAAAAGTGAAGTTAGTAGGTATTGATGCATTTCATTATTTGAGGCATAAGTGTGAAGTCATTGAATGAATAAGAGTGTACAGAACCGACTGCATTACCGTTTTAACTTGAGGTCTTTTGTGCTAGTAAAAGTGTTTTTGGAATGTGTATGTAGGTATATATTAAGTATGTACTATTTATTTATTTACGTGTTTATTGGCAATTTATTGTTATGAAGAAAAAAGTTAGGTAAATAACAACTTAATTCATATAAACTTATATAAAAAAAAACAAAAGAAAGCAGTTGTAGCAGAAATTCGACACGGCCATTAAGGTCGTGGTAGCTTCATTCTGAATTCGGCGCGTGAATTTTTTTCTATAAAACAATTCTTTAGATACAAAGCAAAATAAAATTATTTATGTTAAAGATAGACAAAAAAGTTGTAGTTCTTAATGTTCGTTGTGGGACAGGGGTTTTACTCTCCACGTCTGAAAAAAAAAGAAAATGTCTTCGCTGTCGTCTTATTAGTAGCTTGATGGCTGACTGTGCTGTTGAAAATATTACACCACTCAGGAATTTTTCGTGCCGTTTAAATAAACAAATATTTTTTGTCATCACTCATCACCCACATTGTGCGTACATTAGTATGATAACACCGATAATTTGTTTATTTAACAATCTCGTCCTCATAAAAACAAGGTGGTTCCTACTTTAACGGATCTCTGATAAATTAATTTGCATGATTTAATTATCATTATTTATCTACCTAAATAATATTTGTTTCTTAGGTTTTCACGCACACCACTCATTAGATAAAACAAGCTTCAACGGAATAGGTGCACAGATTTATTGAAGTAGAAATGGCGTTGTACACTTTTTTGTAATGGGTAAAAAATGTTAAACTCGCGACATAGGTGTCCTGACACGAGGCTGATCGTGTCAGAACACGTGACCTAATCGAAAATTCGTAAGACGAAAACAAAAAAATTGGAAAGGTTGTTTGTTGAATTTCAATTTATTGGATGGTTGGAGGTTGGTTGAAACTTGTTTTATCTAACTAAATAAATATGACAGTTTGTATGTTAGTATAGTTTTGTAGTTTGGTTAAATTTGGCACACATAATATCCGCTGGATTGATACCTAGGGTGCCAACTACTTATCGCGAAAAAAAGATTGCATTGAATAATTAAATTTAGGAAAACAATTATTTCTGGCTTCTCCATTTCCTAAAAGGATTAACATTTTTCGTGTTGAACTGAAAGGTGGGAGCCAAAACATAAATAGTCAAATGTTCGCTTAATCGTCTAAGCCAAGTTTATCAAAGTGACTAACACTTTCACTCACCATTAAGGTTTACGAAAAAAATCAATGGTTTACAATGACCCGTCTCTATCACCTACTCTTTTATGGAATACATTTTGTTTATTCATAACGTTAAAATACGCAAATATGGAAACGCAACACAGAAGTTTCAGTTGTCTTATTATATTTTGCAGATTTCAAACAATCATGGAGAGAAGTAACATGGCCCCTCGCGGCATGGTGGTGACGCCCCATCATCTAGCCACCCAAAGCGCCTTAAACGTGCTGAAAGAGGGAGGCACAGCGATTGATGCAGCGGTGGCCGCCGCAGCGACCCTAGCAGTCGTCTATCCTCACATGAACAGCATAGGGGGAGATGGTTTCTGGCTTATTATACCACCGAACGCCGAACCATTCGTCATAGAAGCGTGCGGGGCTGCCGGGCGACTAGCGAAAAAAGATTTCTATAAAGACTACGCTGAAATACCACAAAGGGGCCCAAAGTCAGCGGCCACTGTCGCAGGAACCGTCGGAGGGTGGCACGAAGCTCTTCACTATGTCACAGAATCAGGCTACCGAAATTTCTCACGTTCAAAACTTTTAGCAGACGCGATCTACTACGCTGAACATGGCTTTCCCATATCCACCTCCTTGGCAATTTTTTTAAAGGATTTCTACGAGACCGAGAGTCCGTCCAATGAATTTTTAGAAATATTTGCACCTAATGGAGAAATTCTGAAAGTCGGCGATAAATTATACCAACACAAATTAGCGAAAACTCTTAAAACTTTAGCTGAGGAAGGCTTCAACAGCTTCTATGATGGAAAGCTGGCTGAGCAAATAGCAGAAGATATGGAAATTCTGGGTATGCCTATCACATTGGAAGATCTGAACACTTATGCTGCTGTAAGGAAAGAACCTCTTCGTCTTCAACATTCTTTTGGAGAAATACTCAATGTGCCTCCTCCTACACAGGGAGTAGTTTCATTGGGTATACTTGGAATTTTAGATCAATTGCGTATAAAAGGTGACCATGAAGGTACATTTATACATGCTGCAGTCGAAGCAACAAAGCAAGGATTTTTGTTAAGGGACGAACACATAACAGATCCTTTATATATGGAAGTAGACGCAAACTTTCTGTTATCACCGGAAAATATTATCAGAATGGCAAAGAATGTCGACGCACATCAGTCTGCAACGATCACGAAGTGCAAGGGCCCAGGGGATACAGTGTGGTTGGGAGTGATGGACAATAAAGGATATTCAGTTTCGTTCATACAAAGCGTGTACCATGATTTCGGCAGTGGCGTCATTCTTCCAAGGAGTGGCATCCTGTGGCACAATAGAGGAGTGGCGTTTTCACTGAAAAAGGACCACATTCTGTCATTAAAACCAGGTAAAAAACCATTCCATACGTTGAATCCTGCTGCCGCCGTATTGAACGATGGTAGAGTCATGATATATGGCACTCGCGGTGGTGATGGACAACCTCAAACTCAAGCTGCTGTATTCCACCGATATGTAGTGCAAGATTTGAATTTACAGAAGGCTGTTTCAGCTCCTAGATGGCTGTACGGTGAAACACTCACTAAAGGGGTGGACACTTTGAAATTGGAAGATAGATTTGATAAAAACACTGTCGAATATTTAAAAGAAAGAGGTCACAAGGTTGAAATTCTAGAACAATTTTCTGAAAAAATGGGCCAAGCTGGAGCACTTGTCAGACACACCAATGCAGTGATGGAAGGGGCGTTTGACCCTCGTGGCGATGGGAGTGCGGCAGGATTTTAAAATCTCAATATACAATACACTTATAACACTGAAGTACTCTTTTTAATTAAATCGACGGTAGAAAGGCAAAAACGCTTATACGATAATGAGTTATATGGTATAATTTTAATTACTTTTATGTTTATAATTTTTATTATTTTTAAAGCATGTAACTGCTTGATGTTTAAATCTAAAGAAAATATAACTAGAAAAAAATCCGGGTGCGGGTTCGAGTCCCGTCTGCTGCCTGGTCCGCGTGGATTTTTTTCTAGTTATACTTTTATGTTTTTTCTTCGATCTGTTTGTTTCATGAAGATTTGAGTACTTTTTTGACTCCTGAAGCGTAATGAATTTTGGTGTTTTTTGAATCAATGGCGCTTACGCCTTACTATATGGCGTATGATTTGGCGGCCCAAGTGATTTTCGTTAAAGCGACATCTAATTCGTAAAGTAAAGGTACTATGTAACTTTTTAATAGGAGGATATTTAGAAAATATTCATTTATGAATACGTGTTTATTTTTATGGCATTACTTCTCTTTTACAATGAGTTATGATTATCTTTGTAAAAAAAACGTTGATTCTTGTTTTTGTTAACTAATGTGTTTAAGCGATAACGAAAAGTGACTGACTGACTGACATGTCAACGCACAGCTCAAACCGATAAGTCTAGAGACTCCTTATGAGGTCTAGAGGAGAGATAAAGGATTTTTCAAAATTCACCCCGAAAGAGTTATAATTTTGATGATGAAAGTTTGTATGAAAAATCTTACTCCTTGTGTTAATACACTTCAAACTTGGCACGAATACTTATCTAAATAAAATATAAAGTTTGTCATTTTTAGTTCCTAAAATACCCCTTAAAAGGGGGATTGGGAGAGTATCGAAGTTTTTATATATGGATTAATTTTAACGCGAAGTTCGATTAACTCGAATCTTCGTATTTTTGCTAAAGACCAGAAATAAAAAATAACGTATATCAGGGTTTTTCGAAAATCTACCCCAAAGAGGGTAAAAAGGGGAATGAAAGTTTGTATGAGTTAATACAATTAAAGCTTTGGTACGAATACTTCTGTAAATAAGTATCAAAGTTTGGCATTTTTGGTTTGCCTACACTACCCCCAAAGGGGGGATTAGAGGGTGTCGTAGGTTTTATTTATGTTTTATTTTTTTCCCTACACTCACACCAATTAGCCTAGCCCCAAAGTAAGCACTGTAAGGCTTGTGTTATGGGATGCTAGGGTAACGGACAGAATACATATACAGTACATAATATAAGTATCTTTATATATATAATTCTTCTGTGAGTGTGTATGTCACTGAACTTCTCTTAAACGACTGGACCGATTTTGATGAAACTTTTTGTGTGTGTTCAAGGGGATCTGAGAATAGTTTAGATTCACAATTTTGTCCGCTGGACAATGTTTTTTTAATTAATTTTTTTTATGGCGGTACGAAGTTCGCTGGGTGAGCTAGTATTTATATAGAAATACATATTAAACATCCATGACTGGAGTACAAATGCTCGTATTCATCACACAAACATCTGCCCCCACCGGGATTCGAACCCCGGACCTCTCGAGTCGGCGACACCATGAAACCCGGCGTACAAACCACTCGACCACGGAGGTCGTCAAATATGAATAAATTTAACGCGCACATTGATTAACTCTACTACTCGATTAGAGTACTTGTGTTTGAGAATGCATAAAATTATTAAAACAATAATCAAGTGTGAGTACATCGATTCAGGCGTTTAGACAAAGAGGAATTTTTAGCGTCGTGAGGGAAAAGGCCGAGTAAAAGATGAAGATTATGGAATATATTATTTATTAGTAGTATCTATAGCTAGCTGTCATTGGCTATCTTGATTTAGCAGATAGCGGTCCAAGCTGCGAATCCAGTGGCCCCGGGTTCGAATCCCGGTGGGGCAAATGTTTGTGTGATGAACGCGTGCATTTCCCTACCTGTGAGGGATGTTAATAACTATGTATATTACACATATACTAGCAAACCAGTGAACCAAATGTTCACCAAAACCTGATTAAAAAAAAATGTATTTAATTAATTGAGAACTTCGGAGATTTTGTGTGGTTTCGTTTGAAATTCGTGATTTCTCGAAAACCGGAAGTGCTACGTTACTCAAATCCGGTTTGTAGTCTTATCAGACTATTCTTAACTTATAACTTAAACATTCTCTTTAACTATCTCTTACGGTTTGGCCGCTGAAACAGCACCACAGACAGACGGACGGACGGACGGACTTGTCTTATAGATAAGAGATATTAAGTATAGCTTTTTTGTTTCTTAGGTTTTGTTTCTAGTTTTTACAGGTTAATGTACGAAACTTTATTTATTTATTGACGTTTCGTAGCCTGTAAAGGCTAACCCGTAAAAACTACTATAAAAGTAACGTACTTATCTTGGGCCCATTGGACAAACTGAGCTTAGTTTGGAGCTAGATGATTGTTTTAAGGAACTCGAAGGCGCATCAGATGGATAGCGTGTTCGGCCTGCGATCATGGAGGTTAAGCAACTTTTGCAATGGTTGGTCATTAAACGGGTGATCAAAAACTTATTATTTCAAGCTCTTCCGTGCTTCGGAAGTCACGTTAAGCCGTTAGTGCCAGCTGCATCTGCAGTCATTTGCACCCACTAATCTGCACTATGCGCGCGTGGTGAGTCAAGGTCCAATCTCCATATTCCATCCACGGCCTATCGCCGCCGCCATTAGAAAGTCCTTTACTCTGGGTACACGCGAAAGGCGCCAGTGCCCACTTACAGACGCGCAACTGTATGAAGATTTGTCTTTGTCCCTTCTTTAGGGCTATATTTCACGGGGACACCATGGCGGCGCAACCTGTCGCGCCACCGTGGTGTCCGTAAGCTACCAAACTAGACACCATACAGACACCAGTCGCCACGGCACACTGAGACAGTAGGAAAATGGACCTCGAAGAGATAACACACTACTGTATGTACGTAAGAAAGGTGGGTTCTCTCTATCGGAATAATCTGATCAGGAATTATCCCAAATTGATGGTATACTTTGAATTTCGATAATAAACCTTTCTGTATCGAAATGATCCATCGCTATGCAATTAACAAACTATTAAAATATTAAAATAAGCAATTAAAAAACAAAACATAACAGTGCACACGTGTTGCATGCATGAGGTGGGGGCGTCACTGGCGGCCAGACTGGCGGCCGAGTGAGTAAGACACCATACAGCGCTATAGGGTGTATTTCGTAATGTATACCAGTATACTGGCTAGTGCTAATGATGTCACGAATCCGACGCAATATTTTATTGGTATGCTACCATATTTTTACCGGGAAAACGAATACGATTTATGACCGAGCTTGCGTGATATGCATTCGAATTTTATTTCCTTTTTATTTAAAGAACAATAATGGCATCCGAACAAAAAGAATTCCTTTTAATTGATGAGGCGAATAAAAAATCTCTTATCTAATAGACAAGTCCGTCCGTCCGTCCGTGGTGCTGTTTCAGCGGCCAAACCGTAAGAGATAGATATAGAGAATGTTTAAGTTATAAGTTAAGAATAGTCTGATAAGACTACAAACCGGATTTGAGTAACGTAGCACTTCCGGTTTTCGAGAAATCAGGTTTTGGTGAACATTTGGTTCACTGGTTTGCTAGTCTTCTTTATTCGCACTATTTTTAAAATATTTTGTCGTTTATGACGTCAGTGCACTGGCCAATATATTTCGGAACAATTCACCAGTATAGCGTCGATTCATGACGTCATAAGCACTGGCCAGTATACTGGTATATATTACGGAATACACCCATAGTAATTAGTGGTGGCGCGACCAGCGGCGCAACCAGTAACATTCTGTGCACGCGTTCGAGTTGGTCGCGCCGCCAAATTGGTTGCGCAACCAAACGGACTCCAGGTGAGTAACTCTCTATAGAGCTGTATACGTTTTGTTGGCAGCTATTCTATGTGACAGCCCTGGTGCATATTTTCAGTTTGTTTTTTCTTAAATATATCACGAAATTTAATGCTGATTTTTTTTATACAACTAGAATAAATATCAGACTATATCTTGCGATTAAAAAAGTTTGCATATATTACGGTATACTGGAGAAATAAAATAAAAACAAATATAACAAAAAGTTTTTTTTGAAGTTATACTTCTTTAGGCGCGTTATGAAAAAATGATGAGAGTGAAATTTTAAGATGCGCGCTCATCACTGTAACACAAAATTTTAACATAATGAAGTTGGTCGCTTTAGACCAACTTCATGCGTTACTTTTGTGTTTACCGCACATTAAGAAAATCTACCAACAAAATAGAAATAAAATCTCTATTTAGTGGGTGCTAACGACTGCATTGTGAAGGCCTATCAAAAGTATTTATTAATCTGGAACAACGGAACCAAAGTGCGATTCAGGAGACTACAGCGCCATCTCTTGACCATTGGTGTAGTAGAACCAAAAACCACATCTTTATTTTTTGTAATAAAGTAACAGTTATAGGTATTCATATTTATAATATTTATCCACATGTTTCTAGTTTGTATATTCGGAATACGTGTTTGAGTTTCATACAAGTGCAAATCACATATGTTCTAATAAATTATATTCAGTAGCGATTTTAATTGAATATTTTAATTATTTATTTATTTTTTCAAATTAAAACTGAACTTTATTGACTTCGTCCTTTTCCAGACTTTTTATTAATTTATTGTAATTAATTATTTGCATGCAATTAAAAACTAATTTTAAACGATGCCAAAGAAGGATAACTTCTCACGCGCCTACATAAGTACACGCACCCATTTTTTATTTTATTTAACTGCAAGCATTTACAAAACACTTTAAACGCTTATTACGTGTAGTTTTAAGAGTTCTATGAAGTATTATAACGGCTCTATATTAAATGTTATTAGTTTACGAGTAAGAATGTTTTTCATTTTTTAAAAAGAAAAAAATAACTAACTTTTGAATTTTTGTATCTCGAAAACTAAGTGGAATTTTCAAACGAGAGTT